TCTCCACACCGTGAGCAAGACTTTGGTTTATGGATTACAAACTAACTTTAGTCCAGGGAGCTAAGTTCTATTTGTATGGAAAACTAGCCACAACTAGATCTTTGTATACAGTTGATCTGTGTACACGCTGTAGATAGGAAATTAGCCTTGGTCTGTGTACAAAGTATAGATAGGAAATTAACCGTTGGTCTGTATACACACTATAGATAGGACATTAGACGTTTATATAGTTGGTCTGTGTACACAAGGAAATTAGCCTTGGTCTGTGTATACAATATAGATAGGAAGTTAGGCTTACCTATAGTTGGCTGTGTATTCAGTACATTTAGGAAAATAGCCTTGTGTATATTTGGTCTGTTTACAAAGTATATATATATATATATATATATATATATATATATATATATATATATATATAGGAAATTAGCCTTGGTTTGTGTACACACTATAGAGAAGAAACTAGCCTATAGTTATTTGGTCTGTGTACGCAGTATAGATGGAAAATACCCTGATTTATAGCATGTATTTGTACATAATATATATAGGAAACTAGCCTTATCTATATTTGGTCTGTGTACACAGTATATATATATATATATATATATATATATAGGAAACTAGCCTTATCAATAGTTGGTCCGTGTACACAGTATAGTATGAAATTATCCTAATTTATAGCATGTACACAGCGTAGATAGAAAACTAACATCATCTATAGAATGGTAGTCTATGTAGATCAGAAACTACCAACATTGATGACATGCCCCATAAACTTCAGCTCACCCTGAATAGAATGCTATAGAGATTGCAGATTTATCCACGAAGCTCATTATAAATCCCAATTAAACCAGTTTGTCTCTAATGCCACGAGCACCCCATGAACTCGACGTCTTCCATCATGCTTTCTTAAAATAGATTTTAATTACTGGAACCTTGTTGCTAAATTTATTCCTTTTGTTTCGAGTCTTAATATATTCATTAAAAAATTCCTTTAAAGGTCGCAGGGTAATATAACGTTTTTAAAAGCTGGTAGAACTAATTAGATGTTCTTCTGTCTACCTGTGTACAAGACCAATGTGGGACGGCTAGGTCTATATTGCTAACCGAAAAGTCTCGAGTTCGAATCCTGGTTTGAGTCAGTGGTACGTCCCTGAGTCCACCAAGCTCTGATGGGTACCTAACTCATGTTAGGGAAAGTAAAGGCGGCTGGGCATAGTGCTAACCACGTTATCCCTTTATATGCCGAGTTCAGGAAACATGAACTCTACTTCATCTGCCCAATGGATCGCTAGGTCTAAGTGGAATCTTTACAAGAACAATGGTTTTAAATTTGTGTTACTTTTGACCCTGTGAAATTTGTTGTAGGTAGATTGTATAATAAGGGTTGGCGGCTGACATTTTTTTGAAGTTTTTGAAAAAAATTCATGAAGATGGAAGTCGACCTATACGAAAAATAAACCGTGTGTAAAAGTGTTTTTGTTATGTTATACAATATGAAATAAATAACTATTTAAAAAAATTCTAAACTTCATCAAATTTCGTTTTTAAGTATATTGCAATGCTGTTTTTATTTGTTATGTACATACACCACAACAACCCAGAGGCGTAGCGACCCTTCCCGGCGCCCGGGGACAAACTTTTCGATTTGCACCCCCCCATCGAACTTTCGATTTGCACCCCCCCCCCATCGAACTTTCGATTTGCACCCCCCCCATCGAACTTTCGATTTGCACCCCCCCCCCCCTCAAGATGTCGATTTGCACCCCCCCCCCCTCGAACTTTCGATTTGCATCCCCCTCAACCTTTCAATTTATTTTTCCAACCCATTTTGGCGCCCCCTAAGGTCGGCGCCCGGGGACATATGTCCCCCCGCGCCCCCCCCCCCCTCGCTACGCTACTGCAGCAACCCAACTCTATCACACATGTTTAGTTCAGAAAAAAAAATCATTTTGCTCCCCTTTCATTGTAACTCTTCTTGTTTTGTGTCATCACAGAGGCGTAGCGAGGACAGGGGGTACGGACCGCACCGTTGGCACCCGACCTAGCGACGCCACTGGTTCGTCATTTCTTTGGGTTTCCCCTTACTTAACTCAAATTACGGACAGGCTAATTAAGCCAATTATTTTAAATGAGGGAGAAAGGATATGTGTAATTGAGCCACTCAAAAAATTTTAAAGGGCCTATAGAAAAAAGTATTTAAAAGGACAATGTATAATTATCTATATATATAATTCTCTTCTTCGAGCCGTTAGAAAACAAGCTGCAAACGCTCTCCGTACCTCCCCACCCCTACATGGTTTTAGTGAGCTGTGTTCACTCTAAATGTTTACAAGCAGAGCCAACGATTTTAAACGTAGGGGGGGGGGGGGGGGAGGGGGGGGGAAAGGGGGGGGGGGTTATGGTCCTTAACGAGCTACTTATAGTGTTTTAAAGAAATATTTTCAGTGTCAGCGTTGGTACTGTCGAATTCACAAATTATGAATTATTGAAAATTAGAAACAACTAAATAGCGGCGTATGTTATGCCGCGGGCCGGCTCGTTATATCTTAATTCATGCGAACACCAGGAGCTTATATTCTTCCTTACTTTTGTTTGTGTTCTGAGAGTACATTTAATCATGTTTATCTCGAGTGATTGTAGCTACTAAACACCATAAATACCGTACTGATTTATTTTCACCTACGTGCTGACAATATCTGTTCAGAATATTGATTGCACAATAAAACAGAGATTGTATAGTATCTCCCACAAAAGATAAGATAATAACAGTATCTTGACCTAGTTTGTACATTGACAGACAGACCGGTATCTGGACTGATTGATAACACGTTAAATTTCAATATCGATTGTTTTTCTAATCTGTTTTTATGAATACTTGGATTATATATACAGCCCTGATTTTAGGGCTCCCATAGTGTGAAGTGAATGTTAAGGGTGCCAGGATACTCTACTTTCTGTATCATGCTCTCTCTATATAGCATATATATATATATATATATATATATATATATATATATATATATATATATATATATATATATATATATATATATATATATATATATATATATATATATATATATACACTTACACACACACACACACACACATATATATATATATATATATATATATATATATATATATATATATATATATATATATATATATATATATATATATATATATATATATATATATATATATATATATATATATATATATATATATATATTTAAAAATATATTAATGCCCACATGTATATGTTACCATATACACATGTATCTATACATATGTATACATCTATATTTATATATACATTTAGCTGATATATGTATATGCTATATATATAGCATATATATATGTATATGTATATATATATATATATATATATATATATATATATATATATATATATATATATATATGTTTGACTATTTGTTTATTTTACATCTGCGTGTACATGTATGACATCTGCTAACAATTCTTGATTCAACTTTCTTCAGGCTGACGTAAGATGGCTGACGATAAAGGTGTCCCACCCCCTTATTCAGGACCCTCCCCAGGACAACCCGGGGGCTACGGCCCTGGATATGGCGGCTTCCCCCCACAGCAAGGAGGCTACCCTCCACCACAGGGCGGCTACCCTCCACCACAAGCCGGCTACCCACCCCCTCAAGCAGGCTATCCACCCCCACAAGGAGGGTACCCACCCCCACAAGGAGGGTACCCACCCCCACAAGCGGGGTATCCCCCACCCCAAGGATACGCCTACCCCCCTGCTCCTATGATGCAACAGTCCGTGAGTTCTTTTTTTCTCTCTTTGTTTACACATAATTTCATTGCATTTATTGCTTTCTAGCTTGTCTTTTTCGTCCCTAAAAACATTAATTACATCTTTATTGGACAACGTGGGCCTACTCGTAGAGCTATAAAAGAGGAGCTTAGTTTAGAGTGTACTAGCCGTCCCGGCCAGGCCCTGCTCTGGCTTCTGTGAAAAACCTTTCTGTTAAAGACCATTACCTGTGTGTTTAGTAATCATCATAAACCCGGCATTGCCCACCCAAACCACAACCAACCAAAAACAACAAAACGCAAACATAACGCTAACACAATTACAAATGCAAACGAAAACAAAAACCTAACAACAAACCCAACCACAACCACCAATACAAACACAAAGAAAAAACAAACAAAAAAGCAAACGAAAACAAAAACCTAACAACAAACCCAACCACAAACACCAATACCAACAAAAAAAAACAACGAAAAAGCAAACGAAAACAAACCAAATCCAAACGCAAAACCAACCAAAAACACAAATACAAACCCAAAAAAAAAAAACACAAACAAAAACGAAAAAAGAAAGAACAAAAACGAACCAAATCAAAACGCAACCACTAACGCAAACCCACCTAAACACAAAGAAAACACTAACGCGAACATAAACGCCCGGGGCGGAATCACCTGTTTTAGCTTAATGAACGACTATAGTACCCCAACTTATTCACAGTCTTTTGCACTCACTTAAACGAACGCGCCTGTTTCAATTCAATAAACAATTTTAATACTCCAAGCTTATCCGTAAAATACCTACAACATTTGCACTTGATCAATCCCCGCTAATTATGTAATTATTTTTTTTCCCAACACCAAAACAAAGTAATTAAAAAGTAAATTATTTTCACGGAATGCAATGGTTTTATAAAGGGAAGTAATTGTGTTTTTCCTAATTTATCAAAGGGAAGTAAGTGCTATAGGACTAAATAAAGACATAATTAGAATTTTTGTAAAAGATGATATTTTTTTTAAAACTTGTGTTTAATGAACATGCCGACAATTATTACTATAATTTGAAAAATGAAAATTATTTCCCAACACTTTCAATAGTAATTTTTTAGCTCATAAATTTAGACAAATGCGCACGATAATTTTCTAACACTTAAATTCGTACAATTCCAACGACATACAAATGCATTACATACAGAACTGAGCTTTATATATTAGATTTAAAATGTGATAAGAGTAGTATCCCTTTAATTTAAATTTTTTGTAAGTGTATTGTAAATATAATAAAGAGTAGTATTCCCCCTTTTTTTTTTAAATTTAGTGTGTTTTAAATGTGAATAAAAATAAGAATAGTATCCCTTTAATTAAAATTTTTTTAAAGTGTATTTTAAATATTATAAGAGTAGTATTCCCTTTAATTAAAAACCTTTTTTTTTAAAAAAAATTTAGTGTATTTTAAATGTAAATAAGAATAAGAATAGTATCCCTTTAATTTAAAACTTTTTAAAGGGTATTTTAAATATTACAAGAGTAGTGTCCCTTTAATTAAAAAAAAAAACTTGTTTTTAGTGTATTTTGAACTGTGTAAATAATATTTTAATTAATTTTTTTATAGTAAATAAAATCACAAACAAGCTTTCTATCCAGTGAATACGTATTTGGGTTTAAGTATATTAATGACAAAATTAGCTGTGAAAATTCCGACAGATTTTTGGTCTGTGTGTATCACTAAGGGCGTTTGAGTGTGAGCCCCTAAAGTCACGAGTTTAAACCCTGGTGGGGGGGGGGGGTGAGAAAAAATGAGCCAGTGGTATTGTTAGTTTGTTTCACTTGTCAAAAAATCTAACCATTATTACCCATTCACATCCCCAAACCGGTGGAAAAAAAATGTAATAGAATAATTATTTAATAATGAAATAATCAATAATGTTCAATATAACCACCAGTGCCCACGACATAGCCTAAAATTAAAATAAAGTATAGACCTGTTTAGACACCGACTTGTATAATTAAGTTCAGTAATCCTGTAATTTTTGTAGACCTAGAAGATCTTCACAAAGCCCTCTTTTGTGTTTTTTTTTTTGCGCACGAAGACGCGCATGAGGTTGAACAATACGAAAACCATAACACAAATCTTTGACTAGGGTTCATGAAGCGGCGTAAAATGGCGGTACCACAAACGTATCAATATGTGAATTCTTTGCTTTAACATCCACACTTCTGGCTCCTCAGCCCGTAGTGGGCTTTGGTCTGATTTCATCTGCTTCCACTCACAACTCTCTTCATCTTCCATGTCTCTCCACATTATCTATCTTTAGACTCTAAGTCTAGTCTAGAATATCATTCCACTCTAGCTAGATTCTTGATCTATTATCTACATTTTAGTCTAGATAAAGCAAAATATTTACAGAACTCGAAGGAAATTATAATTTATTTTATTGTTATTCAATTTATTAAATACAGTGGCGTAGCGAGGTCGGGTGTCACCCGGTGCGGCACTTAATGGTGTCACCCCCTCCCCAGAGGCGTAGCGACTCTTCCCGGGGACAAACTTTCAATTATCGATTTGCATCCCCCCTCGAACTTTCGATTTGCACCCCCCGCCCCCTCAAACTTTCGATTTGCACCCCCCTCAAATTTTTCTCTATATATTTTACTATTTTTTGCCTTGGTGTCACCCCCCTAAATGGTGTCACCCGGTGTGTCCACACCCCCCCCCTTGCTACGCCTCTGATTAAATACCTGCAAGTGATAAAGCAAAATATTTACAGACCTCGAAGGAAACGAAAATTACAATTGTGTGTGTTTTGTTTTCAGAGTACATCAAACAATGTGGTCGTCGTCTCCGGTGGTGGCGGGGGTGTTAATCAGACGGTGATAGTAGAGAGGTGAGTCGGTTGTTGTCTGGTGTCTGAGTGGTGTAGGTGGGGTGGGGTCAGATGTGGGGGGGGGGGGGTCAGACGTGGGTGGGGGGGGGGGGGTCAATCAGACGGTGATAGTAGAGAGGTGAGTCGGTTGTTGTCTGGTGTAGTTTGGGGTGGGGGGGGGTCAGACGTGGGGGGGTGGTCAATCGGACGGTGATAGTAGAGAGGTGAGTCGGTTGTTGTCTGGTGTAGGTGGGGGTGGGGGGGTGTCAAATGTGGGGGGGGGGTCAAATGTGGGGGGGGGGGGGTCAAATGTGGGGGGGTCAGACGTGGGTGGGGGGGGGGGGGTCAATCAGACGGTGATAGTAGAGAGAAGAGTCGGTTGTTGTCTGGTGTAGGTGGGGGTCGGGGGGTGTCAGTCAAGGTGGGGCGCCAGTCAGAGTGGGAAGTCAGTCATTGTTGGGGCGCCAGTCATGGTGGGGCGCCAGCTAGATTGGGGCGCCTGTCATAGTTGGGAGTCAGTCAACTAGACGCTGATAGTCGGAAAGTGTCTGGGCTGACGTCTGGTTTATGCGGGTGGTAGGGCGCCAGATATGGTGGGGTGTCATTCAATGATGGGGCGCCAATGTTAGTATACGCATATTTTAAATGTTGAACCATATAGTTGTATTACTATCTACTTAGACTGCTAAATGCATTATTAAGAAAAACAATGAAAAAAAAGTATCCGTTCATTTACCGGTGACGCTTAACAATGATATTTGCAAAATGAATTTTAAAAAATAAATAAACAACGTGGTATGAAAATATCAATTTAAGTTAATACAAACGGAAATAAAATTGTAAAAAAAAAAAAAACACACACATCTGGTAGAGCACGGGTTCCCAACCTGGGGGTCGCGACCCCCCTGGGGGTCGCGAAGGTCTTTCTGGGGGGTCGCCAACTGGTATACTAAACCTTAGTAATTTGAAACAAAACATAAATATTTAGAAGAATTTTCTAAATTCGGCTTCATTAACATCACTGGAAATGTAATAGAGAAGAAACAAAGCGCACTGTACAAAGTTGTTCTCAGTCACGAATCAATGAAATCTTCAAAACTAAAACTTCATTTGAGACGAGTCATTCGGAACACACCAAAAAAATATATGGAGTTCTTTCGTCGGTAAGAAGCTAGTTGCAAACGCCATAAACTTGATCGAACAGGAAGTTTTAACCAGCATTAGTGCTAGCATCAAATGAAGTCGCGGTAGAAAATGCCAAGCAAAAAAAAAAAAATACAATAGGACAAAATCTCATCAAACGCTGCATGTACGTAAATGTTAAATAACACATTTTTATCGAAATTAAGCTTTCACCATTGTTTGCTTTTCAAGTTGATAAATCAACAGACGTGAGTTCGTGTTCGCAGTTGCTGGTCTGTGTCTATATTCATGCGGATGATAGCAAAGGAGAGTTGCTCTTTTGTGAAGATAGCATGGAGAAAATAAATACCTTTTTTTGAAACTGGATGATTAAAATGGGTTAGAACGGCTGTGGGGGTTTGTACGGATGGTGCGCCATCTATGTTAAGCTCAAAATCGGGCTTTCAGAAAACATAAAAGATTTAGCTCCATAACCACTGCCCTAACCAATCGACATCAAGAGTCTATTGCTAGTATAAGTCGTAAATTATATAAAATCTGGAGCCTTCAAAGAACTGAGCAAGGACATAAATAAAGATCACGAGGTTCTGCTCTTCTACACTACAGTGCGCTGGCTGTCAAACGAAATGTTGTAAATTGTGTTTTTGAATTGAAATCTGAAATCAAATTGTCCTTGGAAGTGCAAAGGAAACAAGACTTTTTGGTATACTTAAAACGACATAGAGTGGTTGGAGAGAGTATCATACCTAGCAGATGTGTTCGAACATCAAGATAAGCTTAACCTGAAGCTTCAGGGAAAATGAACGAATATTATAACTTTCCATGATAATCTCGGGGCATTTTTATCAAAGCTGCAAAATCGGTAAAGAAAACAAATCTTGGAAATATTGTAAATTTGAGAAACTCTGTGGTTTGGTAGTTGAATCTGATTGTGGGATAATTAAAATTTTGAAAGAAGCGGTTTCTGGGCATCTTGAATCTCTTGAAAACGAACTGCATCGCTATTTCTCTGAGCTGAAAAAAAGAAGAATCTGCATTTACGCATTACCCATTGTCTTCTTCTCTTGTTGTTGCCAGCATTCCCGATGAATTACAAGATGAATTCTTTGATTTGCAGAATGATTCCGAGTAAGATGAAAAACTGCAGACACAATTTTGGTGTAGTATTCACCATTCATACCCAAACGTAAAATTGATTGACTTTTCGAGAATATATTTTCAACACTATTCTTCGATTAAAAACAAAATTAAGATAATTATAATGACATAGGTTGGCGTTAACAAAAAATGGTTTTAATTATAAACTTAACCACGAAGGTTTAGTGAATAGTATGCAATTTTACTCATGCTATTAAAATAGTTATCAAGAGTAGTTCATACTGAAAGTCTAACTACTAGAAAATCTTAATTTAGTGCTTATTAATTTCCATACTAATTTCGGCTTTTTAATTCTATGGGGGTCGCGGGTCACTTACTTTTTATAAAAGGGGGTCGCCACTCGAAAAAGGTTGGGAACCACTGTGGTAGAGACTTCGAAAAGTCTGAAATTCCGTTCCTACATAATTTTGTTTTCTATTGGTGTCCTGGTAGAAAATTGTACAACATTTGACGTGTGTTTTGTTTTCTATCGGTGTCCTTGTAGAAAATTGTACAACATTTGACGTGTGTTTTGTTTTCTATCGGTGTCCTTGTAGAAAATTGTACAACATTTGACGTGTGTTTTGTTTTCAGACGAGGCGTCAACCACTGTCTGCACTGTATTATCACGCTATTCTTTCCCTTGTGGATTATTGTTTGGATTATTTTGGTAAGTGGATTATCGTTTGGATTATTTTCGTATATATATTAAAATACCATCCACTCACAATGCTGTATAATATATATTAATTACTACCCGATAAAGTACTTTTCGAAAGTCTTGTTCGAATCCGGGTTCAAGTCAGTAGAACGTCTCAGCTCTTATGGGTACCTAACTCAAGGAAAATAAAAACTCGACTAAGCATAGTGCTGAACACACTACCTTTCATATGCCGAGGTCACAGGAACAGGTGAACTCTACTTGTCTCATGGAAAGTCATGTTCGAAAATGGAACTTAACTGAGAGAGTCCATTGAACTCAAATCTACGATTTTATTTCATGTTGTCAACTCTAGTTATCGTGAATTATCCGTACCTACCTTTTTAAAGTATGTCAACGATAATAACACAAATACCAAAACCTTAATGCTAAACTTCAACTCTATAGTCGTAGGTGAACCTAACTGTATTCTACATTATATGTATAGCTAATCCTTACTAACTCAACTTTAAACCTGCTAATCACAAATTAATTTAATTCCTCTACTTCCAGTGTATCACAGATAACTAGCCCCTGTCGTCACACAATTGTTGTACACAAGATTCAGGACCAAGAGACAGTCACTATATACATCATTGTCTTTTTATACAAACACCTAAGCCATAAATAAAACAATTACTCACTAATTCATTACAAAAAATAAAAACAACTACAGAGAAATAAACGAAACAACAGACAGACAGGCGACAGACTTCACGTTTTGTAGTATGTTTTGATTAAATTAAAAGTTGTAAAAATTATAAATCTTATCTTATATATTTATATTATTTAAAGAAAATAATATCCTAAAAATGTAATATGAATGTCTGATTTCTAAAGATTATTATTCGTTCGACAAATGCAAAAAAAAAAGTAATTTGAAATTAAAATAGTAAATTTTTTTTTGTATAAAGTGAACATCTTTTAAATTATGTGAACATCATTTTTATAATAAGCGGGTGTCTTTGAAATGACTAAGTAATGAACCCACGTTGTTTTTTTTTTTACTGTAGTCGTATGTCTTATGTTGATCAAATTTTGTTTTTATTGTTATAGCTACACTGTTCAAACTTTCCATTTGCAATTTCAACAAAATACCGAAAACACTTGGAATTAGCGAAAGGTTTAAGCTGTATTCAGAACACTAACTAGATAGCCTACTTTTCTTGTAGAGTGTTAGTAGTAGTAGAAAGAAGAAGTTAATGTATAGAAATTACTAGTTTATGTTAGTGGTTCTTAACCTGGGTTCGATCGAACCCCAGTGGTTCGATGAGTCAGTCTCAGGGGTTCGGCGGAGGTCAAGACACACTCCCGACTCATTTGATTCACGATCGGATTTAGACAGTGCAGATATAAATATTATAGAAGGTTTGATGAATGCACCTATGAAACTAATGGGGTTCGGTACCTCCAAATAGGTTAAGAAGCACTGGTTTATGTATAGAAAGCAGTAATTGAAGGAGAAAATGAGTAGTTGAGATATTTATATAGGGTCTACTGTTTAGAAAATAAGTTCCTATTAAGAGTAGGGATATAGAGGAGCAGTATAACAGTAGTGTCATTTATTCATAATCTTCTGATTAAATAGCGTAAGTGTATGAGACCAGCGTCACTAAATCTAGCATAATACTTTGACGTAATCAACTTTTTACTTAATTGTGGAATAGTCATAGAAAACAATGGTTTTGTAAAGAGTTATATTGTAATTCTTATGACATTGGATAATGCGCAACTGTAAACTGAACACTTATTCCAACAGTAATTCTTATACTTGTAGTACGTACATAATATATAAGAGCAAGTAATCGACAAACACAGCTTCTAGGCAACTCTTTACCTGATTTGATTGAAAACAATGGATGCTTTCCCTTGCACAAGTCTCCTTGCACATTATCTCCCTTGGTTTACTTGACTACACCGCGCATTACTAGAACTCAAAACAGTATGTTGTAACACAACCAATCACAACAATGTATTCATCAAAACAATCCGCCAGTCTATTATATCCTAATAAAATAAAAATAAAAACGTTTTTAACTTTTGTTTTCTACCAACATAGAGGAAAAACAAAAACTATTGTATTGTTTTTACTTTCATTCAAGTCAGCTGATTTCCAGCTTGCTTAGATTTTCATATCATTGATACGTTTAAAAAACAAGTTTCAACTGCGTGTTCATATTTTATTTAAATAAAAAATAATACCACACTTGTGTCTTAAATGATCTGTTTTCTTCGTATTTACTTAAATTATGTGTAAATGAGTTTACGGTGTGCCATACTTTTAAACACAATAGAATCTGATCATCCATACACCTAAGCATTGATTTGAACGTGTAGTAATTCTGACCAGTAGACTCTCTCCCCCCCCCCTCCACTACCACCCAGGGAATTGGCCTATGTAAACTCTGGGTTACCTTCCCTACTCTCCATAAGGGTCGGAAATCGTACCCGGGGGTCCGGATTCGTGACTTGTGGGTTAGCAATCGTGGACTTTTATACCCAACGATCCCCTACCCTGCACAAACAACGATATAACAGCTCTACCGCCGACTTTCACCCTCTCCTTATTCTGATATATCACGCAGGTTGTTTCCGGTGGGGGTGGGGGGTCTGTATGGTTGGCCCGGTAAAACTCATGGTTGCTAAACCGAAGGATCCCAAGTTCGAACCCCGAGCTGATGAGGCTCGATATCTGGGGACAGCAAACCATCTAGGAGAGACAACTCCAAAATCAAACAACTGCTGCCTTGTAGTTTGTTCGTGGTTGGACAAAGACTGTGGAAGTAAATCGAGAAAGAAAAACAGGCTGAAAGCAGATTCAAATGCAAAACAGATTGACACGTAATACTTAATTGTGTTACAAATAAGAACAAAGAAGAAGAAAGATTGCATGTAAATTAGCATTTAACCAGAGGCGTAGCTAAGGGAGGACGAGAGGGGCGGCCAAAAGGGGTAGAGAAATTAATTTGAAAGCTGACTTTAAGCTGAAGTATTGAATTATTCACAATCAAAGTTATGAAAATAAACGAATACTAGACTTAACACACTGATTCAGCTGTTATCTTTATCAATTTTAAGGCACTGAAAAAGAATATGTTCCTGAATAGTAACTGGTAAGAAGCGCCACAAACCTTTCCAACTGGGGAGGGGCGCTTTTTTTACAGACAGGAATAACTATAAATAGAAATAGGAGAGAGGGAGCAAAGATGATAGTCCGCCCCAGACGCCGGAATAGGTCGCTACGCCTCTGCATGTATCAAAATAAAAACAGAAATAAGAAAAGTAACAAAAATAATAAAATATAATGTTATCTGATCCTCTTCATATGTGCACTTTACTGCTCTAAAGCTGAATATTTTGCTAAAATAAATTATTAAGTTTGGTGTTTCAAAGCTTATATACGAACGCTACAATTTAATTCCGCACAATATATTTCTATTCATAGACTTACTCTTAAAAATGTAATTATCTGAAATAGATACACACACACACAAACACACACACACACACACACACACACACACATATATATATATATATATATATATATATATATATATATATATATGTATATATATATATATATATATATATATATATATATATATATATATATATATATATATATATATATATATATGATTAAAATACATTTAAACGAGGTACGACAGCAGAAAAATGTAGAACGTAAATCTATTTTAGAACTTTGCATGCATGATTTATAGACAGTGCTGTTGAATTTGACATAAAATTTGTATGGAGGGTTGACAGAGACGGTAAGGAAGTAATCTAGTTCTGGAATAGAAGAGGTCAAATATTTGTACAAGAATCGGAGGTGGAAGATTCCGGTAGTGGTATACACGATAGGGAGAAATTGAAATACAAGATGAAAGTTTAAGTTTTTTTTAAAAGGACATCGCAATGTATCATTCAGAAAATGTATCGCAAAAAGGTATCGCTGTAATTGAGGTATCGTGAAAACATAAGCGTGTATATTGCTTAATAGGTATTGTTAAAACTTACTGATGAGGAATAAAGTACCCCTACAAGTCGGAGAATGCTGAACTAGTGTAATTTATTGCTTAAAAAGAGAATCGCTAAGCTGGTTGTAACGCATACAAAAATAGACTTGCTGAAATAAGGGCTTTCAGTGTTTCTTCCAGACTTTTTTCTCCCGGGGGGGGGGGGGGGCACTTGACATTTTCGGGGGTTGGTAGACTCTCTTCAGGGGGGGGGGGTGCGAACACTGTTAAAAGTATATATTTTCTATTTAAATTTCATTTCGTTCCGGGGGGGGGGGGGGTAGACTTAAAACTTTTTATGATTGTTTCAGATCCCGTTTTAAAGTATTTCATTTTATCAAATAACCTACATCTAATGGACAACAATTTTTTTCTTCTTCCGAACCGTATGCACCATGCCATATGCATTTTATACCATACATCATACATACGCTGGTGTAACCTCGTCTTGTATACTTGTATACACCTCCCCCCTCCCCGTCCCCCGAAGATATGCCTGGAAGAAACTCTTGGAGTGGTCGGGAATAAGTGCGCATGTATGCTGACTCTAAATGTCCCAAGTTCAGACCCCGGGTACACGAGGCTGGTTAGCTGGGGATAGCCACCCATCTAGAAGAGAAAACTCCAAAATCTAAAGACTGCCTGGCAGACTGTTCTTGGGAGACGCAAATCCTTAAAGAAAAGCAGGCTTAACTTGGAGTCATACGGGATATGACGCATAAATGCTGACTCGTTGAACCATATATTAGAATTAAGAAAAAAAAAGGAAGTTTTAAGAGATTATAATTTTACACAGTATTGCTATGTCTTAAGTTAAGATTAGTGAACAACGCCGACTTATACTACGTGTGTACATTTGTCAACGACGCCAGACAAAACAAAAATAGGACATCAGCTACGGTTTGGATGACATTCTGTGTAACTTAAGCCGTGGCTATCACTCGATTGTACGGACCGTTGGTTGGGCATCGCAGTGTCTCGGTTCCAGAGATGATCACGTGATACACTCAGACGTGCGTACATACACACTCACACTTGAACATATTATATACTCACAAACATACAATCGTATGAGACAGCTAACAAAAAGCGGATAAAAAAAACGAAACATTTCGGTCATTAATGTTTAAGTTTTACTCTACAAGAATCACAGTAAGTATATTCATACATCTTTTTACTTAGAATAATAAATAAATTAGCTTAATTTTTTATTTTAAATCGCATGTTTAAAATACAAGCTTAGTTGTTTTGAACATGATTACATTTATCAGGTAAAGATATAAAAACAAAATATTACAAAAATAGAAAAATTATAACTCTCCTGTAAAATTACATATACCTTACCATTAAACCAATATGTGCTGTTCTAGTAGGTAACATCATAATTGTGTAACTTATTTGGAAAATAATAATGCGAAAAAAGACTTCAAGACTTAAAATCAACTTTCTTAGAATGTTATTATTATTTTTTTTAAGTAAAGGCAATTTTGACAACAATTTAATTTTTATAATGGTTTCCGATCGCATTTTAAAGTATTTCTTCTTATCAAATTACCTACATTGGCTACATCTAATGAACAACAATTTGTTTCTTCTTCCAAACAGTATGCACCATGCCATTTGCATTTTATAACATCCATCATTCATATGCCGTTAAAACCTCGTCTTGTATACCAATGATAGAAAAGTATCTTTAATGCATTACAATCATCATATCATTTTTAAAATAATACATAATTTATATCATAAAAGAACTAAGATACCACGTCTAAATTACAACAGTCATCATGCTCAATACAACATACTACATATAAATTAACAGACCATTCTATGTCAAATGTAGCTTCCAACAATAGTTCAGCAAACATATCAAATCCAATATAATTGATACATCTTTTTACAAACAAAATCCACTTGAATTAACCCACCCCACATACGATCCAATATACCACCCCCTGAAAACCCATATCCAAAATACCTTATTTTAATAAACCTTATCCCACCCAACACATCTAACAAACAGTATCCAAATACCATATCCAACATACCATACCCAACAAACCCCATCAACAAACTATATCCAACATACCGCACCTAACAAACCTGATCCTACATACAATATCCAACATACCCCACCCAAGAAACTTTATCCTACATACCTTATTTATCATAGCCCTTCCAATATAACCCATCCAACATACCCCACCCAACAAACCTTACCCAACATACCCCATCCAACAAACCTTATCCAACATACCCCATCCAACAAACCTTATCCAACATACCCCATCCAACAAACCTTACCCAACATACCCTATCCAACAAACCTAATTCTACATACCATATCCAACATAACCCTCCCAATAAACCCTTTCCAACATACCACGACAAATAAAGCGCATTAAAAAAACACCCAACAAACCTCATCCCTCATATTCCACCCAAACAAACATTATCCAACATACCATATAAAACATTACCCTCCCAATAAACCTTAACCAACAATCCTCATCCCCCATATCGCGCCCATAAAAATCCAAACCTATCCAACATCAAACATCTCCCATTCCAAAATCCCCATTCCCACATCCCACTCCCCAAACACACCACACTACAACAACACCATGTCGTCCCAATCCTACGAGCTGAAAGATGCCTCAGACAGCCAATCGGATTCACCCGTCTTACCACGTGCAAGACGAGGCTGCTTCATCGGACCAGTCCTGGGATTTCTCCTGACTCTGCTGGCAGTAGCCTGTGCTATCGGTGTGGGCGTGCTGGTGTACTTCGCTAGTTCCAGGAACATCCAGTGCCAATGCAGAACGAACGAGAGTGTCGAGGCGGCGTGTATGAACCTGGCTTCATCCGGAGACAAAAATGTCTGTGAGTTGAATGCACTTCTGTGTTTGATTTCCGTGAATCGCTATACACATTTGTATGGGGATATGACGGAGTGGCCTAGCGGTAGAGAGCTGGGCTGCTAACCCGTAAGTCTCGAGTTCAAATACGGGTTCAAGTCAGTAGACCGTCCCTGAGTCCACGCAACTCTGATGGGTACCTATCTCACGTTAGGGAAAGTAAATGCTGCTGGGCATAGTGCTGACCACATTATCTCTTCATATGCCGAGGTCACAGAAACAAGTGAACTCTACTTCACTTGCACCATAGACCGTCAGGTTTGAAAGGGAAACTTTACTTACTTTTTTACTTTATATGAGGATTTAATATCATTTCCAGTGGTGTAGGTACTTGATATAGAGTTGCCGGAAAAATGCGCAACGGAAATCTGCGCACAAAAAGTGCACAAGAGCATTTATTTTTTCTAAAATCAAGCATTTATAGACATTAACAAAAAACGATTACATGTTTTTTGTAGCATTATAAAACATATTCCACGAAATATGACAATATTAAAGTGTTTTAGTATAATTAGGTTGTATTTGCGCATTTTTTCTGTTTGCGCAGTTTTCCGATTGCGCAGTTTTCCGATTGCGCATTTTTCTAGGAACCTCGATATGGCCCCCAACTGGCCACAGGTGCATGGCTAGGTTAAGGATACGGTTAGATATACGGCTGATGTTTACATTGAGGTTTTAGGTCAATCTCTAGATCTGAGTTTAGCTTTAGGTTAAGGTTTAGACTCAGGAATAAGTTTAAGTTTTTATGTTTAGATTTAACTTCCAGTTTAGGTTTGATTTAGTGCTTGGTTCTTATGGTCAGGTTTCGGTTCTAATTTAATTTTCTCGTTGAAGGCTATGGGTTAATCAATATTTTGTGCTAGACCTTAAAAACAACAATGAAAACAAGAAAACGTATAGGCCTACCCCCCGTTAAAATTCGTTACGTTCCATACCAATTTGTATCTGTGCGTATGTGTGTGTGTTTGTTTGTGTGTGTGTGCTCAATTATCATCACCAAACAATCTATTTCTGGTTTTGTAAATACAAGCATACATCCTCCCCTCTCCTCTTGATCAAGTATAGAATTGTCAATAATCGGCTTGTTACGCATGGTTGATGTTAATTAAAAGTATCGTACAGAGAATGTTAAAACGCTTGAGAAAAACAATGAAGAAGAAAAAGTATTGAAATATGCGATAGAAAAATATAGCTTTTAAAATTTTAAGCCAGAGGCACTATTGATTCGTTGTTTGGTTGGCTGAGTCCCAAGAATTTGATTAATTAATAACGAGCTGACCCGCGACGTAGCATACGCCGCTATCTAGTTGTTTTATTTTCTACTTATCAACCATTCATAATTTGTGAATTCGACACTACCCCCCACCCCCTGCCTCCCACACCCCCCCCTCAAACCCACCCCATCCGCCCAGTGAAAGCAACCGTTTACAGACGACAATGAAAATATCAAGCAGAACTGATTATCTCCCCTTGCTTTCAAATCGTTTAAAAACTAAATCATCTGCCCCTAATAGCCGTCACTAACCCGGCTCTATGATTGTAAACATTGGGATGAACCCCAACTCACCTGACAGGTGGGGATGAGGGTGGTGGCTGAGGTGCATGGTGTTTTCTATGGTCTCCATGAAGAGAATTATATATATAGATATGCATAATTTTATGTTAAGAGTAGGCGCGTCGTGACCTAAATCACTCACAAAACTAGGGATAATTTATCTGCTATTAAAATTTAGGTCAGTTGGTCATTCTAGTAATGTAGCAGGAATACAACACCATGCATTGTGTGCTTTATTATAAGAAAAGCAATTTAAGTTATCAGTAAAGTGCGGCGTGGCAACAAGAAACATTTAAGGGTAATGAATGAACAAACAAAGTACAAAAAAAGAACAATAAAAAAGAAGTCTTGAAGTCAGGCACTGATGACTGGTATATTGATGTCTTTAATAGTAAAGTTCCTTTATGGAACTTGACGGTCCATGGGACAAGTGAAGTAGAGTTCACCTATTTCTGTAACCTCGGCATATGAAGGGATAGTGTGGTCAGCACTATGGCCAGCCGCATTTACTTCCCCTAACGTGATATAGATACCCATCGGAGCTGGGTGAACTCAAAGATGTTCTAAAGACGAGAACCTGGATTCGAACTTGAGAACTTCGGGTTAGCACTAGTATGCGCTAACATCCGACCACACCGTTCAATGCATTGATGTGTGTTATATTAATGGTAGTTTAGTATTCATTAATAAACACGTCTATTTCCTGAAGTAGGCGTTACAAATTTCTAAACAGCTAGCAGGTAAATAAAACCATATCCATGCAGGTGCATTGTGCTTACATAAGAACGAAGAGGTCGTGACATTTGATGTGGCACTAGTCAAAGACACCAGACTGCCAACTGCCCTCTACCCGCTCCACTACAACCTTGAGATACAGACCAATCTACTGGGCATGGACCGAAACAATCTGACTTTTAAGGTACGACTCAGTTTATTTAGTGTGAAAAAATTCACTTTTAAGGTCCGACACAATTTATTTAGTGTGAAAAATAAACCGGTAGTGATCTCCCCTAAACTTTCTCGAATATTCTTATATAAAACAACAGGGGATGGTAACTGGGGATATAGTTATGATTTTTAATCCATTTTAAATACTTAAACTTTTAAAAATAGAATAGAATCTCATAAAAAAAACATTGCGCACCAAGCAAACGCCGAATAAAAACGCGTATAATAGTGCGCAATATTATTAGTACTTTAAAAATTTACATTAGTTTTTTGAGAAATCGGAAGTAGCGTAAATTACTACTTCCAGTCAACGGAAATTACTCAAAATTTAACAGAAGGTAGAGAATTAGATCTTTTACTTACATGTGAAATTTCATTTATCTATCTGAAATAGTACTCAAGTTATAGGCTTTTGAAAAAATCAAAGTAGGAAAAGTACCACTTCCGGTTATCGGAAATCGCTCAAAAGTTGATACGGATCTACGATTTTGATAAAATACTTATATATGAAATTTCATCAACCTAGCTGTAACGGTACTCAAGTTATCGTGTTTACACACGGACAGACAGACACACAGACACACACACACACAGACATACGGACAAGATTGCAAAATTATGTTTTTCCGTATCAGTGAGGTGTAAAACGTCGAGATTTGTAAAAATCTCGATTTTTTTTTTTTGCACGATTACAATACTTTCTCTATACTACGTATATACGAGAAAGTAAAAAATCACTTTTTAGGTACGACACAATTCATTTAGTGTGAAAATTCTCACGATTAAGGTATGGCTCAATTTATTAAGGACGAAACAATCCACTTTTAAGGTACGACACAATTTATATTAAAGTAGATTTCAATTTATTTAGCGTGAAAAAATCTGACGTATATCCCCCCCCATGATATATATATATATATATATATATATATATATATATATATATATATATATACAGATATTGAATTAAACATCACTGTGCTTATATTCTGCAACGAATAAATGTATAATATATATACAAAGTGTAGGCCTATACATTAAATGGCAGCGCTCGAAAAAAAAACCCTGATTGAAGGGCTCTTTTTTTAAAACCACGGTGTGTATAGAATTAGTACCTCTGTTAGGGAACTATGAAGGTAACATAAATAAGTGCCTGGGGTATGGCCTTATGTGGCCCTTTGGAATGCTGAGTAATATTAAAGAAATAATACTTATTATTCTCGAGTCAGTAAAAATAACAATAATAAATTATACTCCATGAATATGGGGGAATCAAACCTAAAGAGGTGTTTAACTATGTATCACCATTTAACAAATGAATTACATATGGCATCACAGGGGTATGTTGAAATCTGGTTACGGTGTGACGTAACTACAGACAACGTCACCCTGCATGTAGAGGGGCTGAATGTCAACATCACCAGCGTCAAGATCAAGGCCGAGCGCGAGGGTTCGAATCCTGTGGTTGATTATTATGAGGAGGACAAAGAGCGGATGTTTTACATTTTTTACTTGAATGAATCGATGCAGGTTGGATTTGTATGATGTATATATATATATATATATATATATATATATATATATATATATATATATATATATATATATATATATATATATATATATATATATATATATATATATATATGTATATGTATATATATATATATGCATATATATATATATATATATATATATATATATATATATATATATATATATATATATATATATATATATATATATATATATATATATATATATATATATATATAAATATATATATACAGACATCAAATACATATGCATATGTATATTTATCTACATTTATATATATACATTATATATATATATATATATATATATATATATATATATATATATATATATATATATATATATATATATATATATATATATATATATATATAAGGATTTACATAAGGATGTTTTGCCCTGAACTATTAACTCTGTAACATTGCGATATTTTGAATGAGATGTTTGGCAGGTATGATTATTGCATCTTTAGATTTTGTCATTACATATATTTTTATATGTTATATTCTCCAGGCCGGATTAACATACATTATATCGATGAACTTCTCCGCGCCAATACGAAAAGATTTAGTTGGTTTCTATTCCAGTTTTTACAAGAGGAACGACCGTAATGTGTGAGTGTCTTACTGTAATACAACAAGGGACTTTAGTGTATGTAAAATACTAGTTATTATAGGGCATGAGGACATTTAGTCACAGTAATATAACATGGAGCTTTAGTGTATGTAAAAATAATACTAGTTATTGACAGGTACGAGGACATTTAGTCCAAGTAAAATATCAAATATTAAATCTTTAAAGTAATTTTGAGTACAGTGAGATATCAAGTCTATTTACTGTCTCTAATCTTCTTCTTCGTTCTTAATTTCTAGTGTTGGAAGGGATCGAGCCTTATTTGCCAGAGGGTTCGAACTCGAGACTATTTCGAATTTAACCATGAGCTTTTAGCCGACTGGACCACGCCTCCATCACAATTAAGGATACGTGTCAACTGGTTATGCGCCATTGAGGCCATTGACTCCGATTTCAGCCTGCTTTTCTTTTTGGATTTACTTCCATAGCCTTTGTCCAACCAAGAACAAACTACAAGGCAGCAGTTGTTCGATTTTGGAGTTGTCTCGTCTTGAAGAGTTGCTGTCCCCAGCTAACGAGCCTCATCTGCCCGAGGGTTCGAACTCGAGACTTTTCGGTTTAGCAACCATGAGCTTTACCGACTCGATCACGCCGACCCCCACCTTCTCTAATAAATACATTCATCCATTAAATATTAAATACTAAATCCTTTAAAATCAAGAAACATTAGTTACAACACTTCAATATTATAAATGAAATGTATAACTGACAGGTACCTGGCAGCCACACAGTTTCAGGTTGCTGATGCCAGGAAAGCTTTCCCTTGTCTGGACGAACCGGGGCTAAAAGCCACATTTAATATCACACTTGTTCGCCCGTTACATCTGGCAAGCCTGTCCAACATGCCGATGCTGGACAACAGTACATTTTTGTAAGTTTTTTTATGTTGGAGTTTTAAATAATTTTTTTGTATAATTTTTTTTTTACTTTCTCGTATACAGAGTATAGATGAAATATTGTAATCGTGCACAAAAATCACAAGAAATTTTGACAGTTTTCACCGTTTTACTCCTCAGTACTTCATGATATACGGAGTATAGGGGACATATTTTAATCGGGTGAAAATTCTAAATCCAGTTTTATAAAAATGTAGGCGTTTTACGCGTAATAGAGTCGGAAAAACTGGGCTTTGCAATTTTGTCCGTATGTTTGTGTGTGTGTGCGTATGTCTGTGAACACGATTACTTGAGTATCGTTAAAGGGTTCCATGACAAATGATCTCAGGACAAATGATCTCAGACAAAATATCTCAGACAAAATATCTCACGGACAAATGATCTCAGGACAAATGATCTCAGGACACATAATCTCAAGGACAAATGATCTCACGGACAAAAGATACCAGGACAAAATATATCAGGACAAATGATACCATGGACAATTGATCTCAGACAAAATATCTCAGACAAAATTTCTCACAGCAAAATTTTAATAGTGTATTGGATGATTTTAGTTGATTTGAACTTTTTTTTTATTAAATGTCAATATAGTTTTGTTTACTTTGTAACGCATAATAATTGTGAATAAAATGAATTTGTTTAACTGAACAAAGCATCAAATGATTTATGAAACTTAATCTTTGTAGTAGCGTTTGATTTGAAAAATAAAAATTAAAACAAACTTACTCCTTTAGCCTGAAAGGTATAATAAATGATAATGTATAAAACAAATAAAATAACATTAATGATCAGAACACGCTAAATATTTTTGAAAAATGTGAATGGGTCTTCAGGTTCGTATATTATTGTTTTTTATTGCAGCATCAACTTAAACATAAAGTATACTTTTCTTTGCTGGCAGGTACATCGTTATGATCACACCTCTCCAGTACTATGTGATCATGTATTGTGTTAACTCTAGCTCGACATGTTCTAACTTCACATTTCAAAATCTCTTTGACTGCTCCACTTCTGGCTTTAATAAACAAATTCACCAGAAACTAATGACCTAAAACATTTCTGCTAGGTAACTTATGAGGCCATAGCTGAGTACGCACTACCAATACTGCTTTGTTTTCAAGCACAGTAAAACAAACTTGGCTCCGCGATGACCACTGATTGTTTAATTAAGCATTTGTCACCTGATCACTAAGGTGTGACCGACGCATAACAATGGACCTTAGATGCTAGTTGTATTGTCCATGGAGGGCGGTTGTCTTTTCCTAAAGGCATGACTCTGCTATCAAAGCGGGCGGGCACCTTGATACGAAGGTGTGTCTTTTTTTTTATTTCATCCCCTTTGATCTAGTTTCGTCCACCTGACGTGGTAGGATTGTCTCATGTTTGTCAAGCCCACCTAAGCTATCTATCGAAAAAAATTCTTTAATCTTCGCATACTATATTAGAAATCTTAATTTTTAATTGTTTAGTAAAATATGACAAATTTATACGGCAAACATTTCTCAAAATTATTATACTGGCCTATAAACAATATTAAACATAGTAAACAAAACCATATGACAGTCAATAAAAAAATGTTCAGATCAACTAAAATCATCCAATACACTATTAAAATTTTGCTGTGAGAAATTTTGTCTGAGATATTTGGTCTGAGATCAATTGTCCATGGTATCATTTGTCCTGATATATTTTGTCCTGGTATCTTTTGTCCGTGAGATCATTTGTCCTTGAGATTATGTGTCCTGAGATCATTTGTCCTGAGATCATTTGTCCGTGAGATATTTTGTCTGAGATATTTTGTCTGAGATCATTTGTCCTGAGATCATTTGTCCTGTCACCCGTTAAAGCTAGGTTGATGAAATTTCATTTATATGTTGTGTATCAACTATTAAGCGATTTCCGGTAACCAGAAGTGGAACATATTTTACTTTTGGATTTTCAAAAGCCTATAACTTGATTAATATATCAGATAGACAAAATTTCACAGAGAAGTAAGAAATCTAATTCTCTGCCTTCTTTGAGTAATTAACGTGTACCGGAATTAGTACTTTACGCTATTTCCGATTTCTTAATAAACGCATTTGAAGTACTAATATTTCGCACTATTATACACACAATTTTTGCTGTCCAATCGATGCGCAACTCTTTTTACAAGCTTTTATTTAACTCACTTCCTCGTCAGTCTGTCGTCAGTCGTCAGTCTAGACGGAAACGCAGGAGTGAAAATTCGGACAGTTCTACTTGACCGATACGATTCACAGTTGGCACGTGGGTCAAGACATGAAGACAATGCAATCTGAAACTAAATTTGACTTAATTGGATGCCTAATTAATTTTTTATGAATTAATTAAAATTTGGACTGAATTAGTAGGCATGTTTAGCCAACCACACCGAACGCGTCATCACCGTCAATAGCTGCGCCATCACGTAATGGCTGCGTTCAAAAACCATTGCGCGCCTACTGAACGTGATGTTCAGTAGGCGCGCAATGGTTTTTAGTCATGTAACTCTATTGTAAATAAAACATGTAAAGTACTGAAAAAAAAATTCATAAAAAACGTTTTAATAACAAGCTTTTATGTAATGATGCACTAAAAAGTAGAAAATAAATTATAGACTACTATTTAAATAACTATAAAGAAAAGCGTGGGTGTCTTCCTTAACATTAGTAAAGGTATCCAAGAGATTCTAAAGTGACCCACGCTTTTCTTTATAGTTATTTAAATAGTAGTCTATAATTTATTTTCTACTTTTTAGTGCATCATTACATAAAAGCTTGTTATTAAAACGTTTTTTATGAATTTTTTTTTCTACCATTTTCTATTCTCTTTTAAAAAGTTTAAGTAATTAAAATTTGATTAAAAATCATGTCTATATCCCAAATGACCATCCCCCCGTTGTTACATAAGTATATTCGAGAAAGTTTAGGGGAGATCTCTCACACTTAATTTTTTTAATTTACACAAAAATGAATAATATAAATGCGTGGTCGATTCGTAAAGTGCAACACGTCTTAGCTTAACATCGCGCGTTCGTTTCCCTAGTTTAAGTCCGTGCATATTTTTTTTTTGTATTGAGATATTAAGTTAATGCTGGATTCATAGTGTTTTTCATAATTTTCCAACATAAAAATCGCATATAAACTTGTTTTAGTTAAAAACTCAGAGCAAACTCCGAGCAGTCCTTTTAATGATGTTATTTATCTTTTATTGTCACATAGTTTAAAACTCCTCCAAGCCATTATATATATATATATATATATATATATATATATATATATATATATGTGTGTGTGTGTGTGTGTGTGTGTGTATTTGTGTGTGAGTGAGAGAGAGAGAGTTTGTGTGTATATTCGAGATGATCAATGTGTACTTAGAAGACTGTTTAACTCTAATTATTCGTTAACTGAACAGGCAAAAAGATTTTTCTTCTTTATATTTTTCAATTTTTTCGTCTTGTCTCCCCCGCCCCCGCCCCTACTCCAATCTACTTAGCTCTAGTGTTCCTTTAAAAAAATATCCATTTATTGTAAAAAAGAAAATTCAAATTAATTTAATTAATTTAACTTTCTAGTGTTGAGGATGGAATTACTTACATCAAAGATGTTTATCAACAAACACCGAAAATGTCCACGTATTTGGTTGCTTTTGTCTTCTGTGATTTTAGCTTCAAAGAAAGTCAAACTGCAAATGGTACAATAGTAAGTTCATTTGATTTTATTTTAAACTGTTGTTTGTCATAAGATTTGGGTAAGTTAGGAACTTGCCAGTGAAACAGCTATGTCAGGTTTCTGTTTGTCAGTGTTTTGAGCTTTGTGAATATTGAGAATTTTACGGTACACAATACTTTACACATTTTACTCAACATCCACCCCCCTTTCCCCAGTAGTAGTATTAGATTATGAGATTAGGAAAAAATATACAAAAAAAATATACCAATATACCAATATATCCGATATATCCAATCGTAGAAACGACGAGTGCCTGGGGGGAAAAATGAGTTGGATTTTCAAATGTGTGGATTTAATTACACAAATAAATGCTGCCCCCCCCCCCCCCCCCCGAAGAAAATCTACCGTCCCCCCCCCCCCCCCCCCCCCCCCCCCCGAATGAAATGAAATTTATATAGAAAACATATACTTTTACCAGTGTCCGCCCTCCCGGAAAATGTGTTCCCTCCCCCCCCCCACTCCCCAAAAATATCAAGTCCCCCCCCCCCCCCCCCCCAGAGAAAATAGTCTGGAAGAAACACTAAAAGTTACCATTTGTTAAATGTCAAGCACAGAATATTAACCATTTCTGAAAAATAGACTCCACATTTTTTTAACCGTTTCTGAAATGTTGACAACAGCATATTCACCATTTCTGAAACTAGGGCAGATAAATTAAATAACTTGTAACCTAGGCAACAGAAAGTAAACTTTCATTATTTTACTTTTGTAAAACATTGCCCAATGCATAGAGTTAATCTTTTCTATAATTGTGGCTTAGTTTAAAAAGGAGTGTAGACTTTAACTTCGCTTACAGGTTTGGGAAATGATGAAAATCGCCTGGTTTCAATAAAACCGCGTAAAGCTGAAATTAAATGAGTAATTCAATTTATCCCGTAGGGGTCGGCGTGGTCGAGTCGGTAAAGCTCATGGTTGCTAAACCGAAAAGTCTCGAGTTCGAACCCTCGGGCAGATGAGGCTCGTTAGCTGGGGACAGCCACTCTTCTAGGAGAGACAACTCCAAAAGGCTATGGAAGCAAATCCAAAAAGAAAAGCAGGCTGAAATCGGCCTAAATGGCGCATAACCAGTTGACACGTAATCCTTAATTGTGATGGAAGCATGGCAAAGCTCATGGTTGATAAATTCGAAAAAAAACCCTCTGGCAGATAATGCTCGATCCCTCGCAACACTAAAAATTAAGAACGAAGAAGAAGAATTATCCCATACAAAAATAGAAATTAAATTTTTTTCCCCAAGATACGGACCTGGTCAAGACCGGACGCTGTGAACCAGACTGACTACGCCCTGATCGTAGGAACAGCTGTCACCAATTTTCTGGAGGAGTTTTTAAATATATTCCTTCCATTTACCCAAACAAGGTGAGGTTGATGTTTCTCCTAGCTCCTGTTGTTTTGATGCTTATCTGCATAAGAATATAAAACATTAAGGGTATCTGCCATATTAAAATTATTACACAGATATAATTGTATCTGCCATATTTATATTACCACACATATATAATTGTATCTGCTATATTTATATTACCTCACATACATAATTGTATCTGCCATATTTATATTACCACACAGATATATTAATATCTGCTATATTAATATTAAGACACAAACATGATTGTATCTGCTATATTTATATTACTACACAGATATGGTTGCCGTTCCACATTTTTCCTACGCTGCTATGGAAAACTGGGGCCCTCATCATATACAGGTAGCTACAACATATATTCACCATATGCAACAACATACATTGTGTTAGTTCAGATCAAGACAGTGCCACATCGTGTACCTTAAGAAAACACCTGCGGTTGTAGTTCCATTTAAATATAACACCAAACATGAACTTTAATAAATTTATCTACACCAAGACGAAAAATTAAATTGCAATAATATACCCACAAAATAATGTAGTTTAATTAATTATTATGAATTAATTTACCAAAAAAAAACTTAAAATTTTACCTCTACTCCAAGGCAGAGGTTTTATGCTTTACCAAGCCCGGGTCTCCACGGTGAAGACGATGAAAAATGTCGCCATTATCACATCGCATGAGTTGGCTCATCAGGTAGTTTTTTTGCTTTATTCAAACGATGTACATGCCTTTACTTTCTACTTATTTAAAAAAAATTAAAATAACTTATTTGTATATGTTTGTGTTTTATGAAAATATATTATTTAAAGATTTCTTACGACTTTCCAGACATTTTAAAAAAATTTAATCGCTCGTCCATTAATGACGTCACGATTTTCCCCTTTCCCTGCCATCCCCAACACCTCTTTGTCGTCACACGTCACTTTAAAAATCAACCCAGATCCACGAAAAACGAAGCCATGAGATCCCACTCTATAGATGACCACAGTTAATACAAAGAGTTGTTGCTGTTGACCAATAGATATAGAAAATGTCCGCTACTTCATCCTAGTGTCACTTGATATATTTTTCTCTGGGGAGGGGACACTTGCAACTTCCCGGAGGGGGTCGGGAGGTGACATTGATATAAAATATATATTTTATATATTAGTTGTATGAACTCGACATTTATTTGCTGATATTATGAACTTTGACCTCTAGTGGTTTGGTAACCTGGTGACCCCAGCTTGGTGGGATGACCTCTGGCTGAATGAGGGGTTCGCGACCTTCTTGGAGTTCCTGGGAGTTGATCGCGTGCATCCGGAGTGGAACATTGTTCGTATTTTTTGTTTTATATGAAATCTTTGTGTTGCTCGTTTTATGACTGAATAATAAGGATTAAGGAATAACATGCATATTATATAGCAGCTAACATTTTCCATAATTATTGTTGCGTCCGGATTTAGTTTAACTCAGGAAACGATTCGTGGTTATCTTCAATACTTTTATTTGGACTCAATTCTTCACATAACAGAGTAGCCCTCGCCATAACCGCTACCAACTAACCCCCTTACAATCATTCACTCCAGCTTTTATAACCGCATTCGACCTTGGGATAACAATACACAAACACACCGGGGTTAACAATATTCTAGGGTAAACTCAACTCACACACACACTCTCCCCTAATTCTAGATTATTCTAACCTATTTCTATCTAACCTACAACTGACCCATAACAATTATGTAAGGGCTTATAAAGTAAAGCGCTATAAAGTAAAGGTGGCTGTAGCCTAAAAATGTATACATATATAAATACATTTCTTTTTTGGATGGAGGGGGGGGGGGTGTATTTTGTCACGCCACATATACACCGATAGGTATAAAAATATACCTAAATTTTTTTAAAAACATAAACAGCTTTATACATGGCTGAAAATTAGAAAAAAAAATGTCACAATCATTATGGAATTTTCATAGGTCTACATTTTCCCCAAAAAGGTTTGCGCAAAAAGATGTTTAATTTTGAGTGTGACAACTGGTTTGATGAATATGCTGAAACCAATGGAATAGCAATTCTTTATTTCATGTCGAAAAATCTTGGCGCTTTTGTTTCAATACAAATGTAACTTTAGCGCATGTGGTTTGATTTAATAAAATAAAGCAGCAAGTGTTGACCCGAGGAATAGCTACGTTACATATTTTTATACGGGGTAGGGGGTGGGTAAAACATGTCGCAGTTTTGTCTTAAATAATATGTGCATGATTTCTCAGAATATAAATATAAACACAGACACACAGTATGTTGCTTGTATTAAAACACGACTTAAACATTTGTTTTATATCAGAAATGTTTACTAAAATATTGACTCTATTGATTGTAACCTGTCCCCTGTCTACTTCACCTGCAATTAGCTGGACACGATGGTGGTCGATGACATCATGAAAGCATTAGTACAGGACGGCACACCGGCTTCTGTACCATTGTTTTCTCATGTCGCTTCTGTCAAAGATTTGGACAAAATTCCTTCAACTATAACGTACCAAAAGGTAAGCTTGCGAACTATGCGAGTAAATCTAATAATAACGATTGAAAAGATAAACTGCGAACTATGTGAGTTTATTTAAAAAAAAAGATAAACTGCGAACTATGCGAGTCTATTTAAAAATAAAAAACTAAAGGATAAAATGCGAACTATGTGAATTCCTCTAATATTTACGTAAGAAAAGTATGTTTCGATAAAGTGTTCTAGCAATTACTACTACAAAAAATTTAATTTATCGAACAAAAAAAAAAAATAGCCGTTGTAGTAATTGTTCTCAGTAGCTTACAAATGCACTTTTCTAACTTTTAAGACATTAAGCACCCCCCTTCCCTTTAAAAAAAAACAATACTTCCCCTTTTTATAGCGAGCTTTATAAAGTAAAATTAAGTTGAGTTTTCATCATTGATGTTGCATTTCGCTTCTCATGTTGTCTAGGGTTGTGCGATTATCCGAATGGTGGACTACATCTTAGGTCGTGATACTTTCAAGAAGGCTTTACATGTAAGCCAAAGTTTTTTTTTATAAATACATCATTACACACACACATATATATATATATATATATATATATATATATATATATATATATATATATATATATATATATATATATATATATATATATATATATATATATATATATATATATATATATATATATATATATATATGTATATATATATGTGTGTGTGTGTTGTGTGTGTGTAATATGTTAACATTTCAAACAGTTGTATGTGTATTCGTATTTATACATTATGGAAATTAAATTAATTTTGGTTTATTCTAAATGTTATGCATTCTTTTTCATATAAGAAGATTTCTTAACTCTGCATCCTATTTTTTTAGACTTACCTGAATCAGTATCAGTATGGCAGTGTGACCCATGATGACCTCTGGGAGGTGTTGTCACAGGTAGATACAGGTGTTTCTACATGTTATTAACATTAGCTCATAAATATTATCAACAGTAGTTCATAAATGTTGTAAACAGTAGTTCATAAATTATGTCAACAGTATTTGATATAATGGACGGCGTGGCCTCACGACAGGGAGCTAGAGTGCTAACCCGAAATTTTCGAGTTTGAATCCGGGTTCAAGTTAGTTGAACGTTCCTGAGTCCGCCCAACTCTGAAGGGTAGATACTTACGTTAGGTAAAGTAAAGGCGGCTGAGCATAGCGCTGACCACGCTATCTCTTCATATCCCTATGTCTCTGAAGCAGATGGATTCTACTTCACCTGCCTCATGTTTCTTGGGCATGATGATTTCATATAATATTGTCAACAGTACATGTTGTAGTTCGTGCATGATGTTTATCAAACCGCAACATCAGAATCTTCGTGAATCAGGGCGAACAAAACCTGTTGGCTTTAGGGAATGTGTTAGGTTTTTCCGTCTTTATTGGACGCGTCTATTAACCCATCTTTAACCAGCAGTTCATCATCCCACCAATAACCACATGAAACAGTACAATATGTAACCAGTTTTTCTTTCAAACTTTTTTCTCCGGAAAGGGGGGGGGGGGGAAGGAGGGAAGGCACTTGAAATCTTTAGGGGGGAGGCGGGACACAATTTTACGTGGTGGGGGGTGGTGGTGGCGGACACTCGTAAAGATATTTTTCTATATATATGTTAAATTACGTTCTGGTGGGGATGGGGAGTAGGGTGGGGGGAGGGGGGGGGGGAAGTAAAGTTTCCCTTTCAAACCTGACGGTCTATGGGGCAAGTGAAGTAGAGTTCACTTGTTCCTGTGACCTCGGCATATGGAGAGATAGTGTGGTCAGCACTATGCCCAGCCGCCTTTACTTTCCCCAACGTGAGTTAGGTACCCATCAGAGTTGGGTGGACTCAAGGACGGTTTGCTGACTTGAACCCGGATTCGAACTCGAGATTTACGGGTTAGCAGTCCAGCTCTCTACCGCTAGACCACTCCGTCCCATTGGGGGGGGGGGGGGGGGGGGACGGCGTTAAAATTGCTTCGGCGGTTGCGTTGGACGGGGGGGGGGGGGGGGGGGTTGGGGACACCTTCCGAAGAGAGGCCTGAAAGAAACACCGTTTTTACCCCTACCCCAGCAAGCCAGGCGAGACGGCAAAGACCTGGACGTCAAGGGGATCATGGACACGTGGATCCTACAGATGAACTACCCAGTGGTCACCGTACAACGCAGCAGCCACACAGCCGATCAAGTTCTGGTGTCACAGAAGAGATACCTGGAGGATTACACTGCCGCGGACCCTGAGATTTTTACCTCCCCTTATGGGTACTGCTGGCTAATTTGTTTTATTTATCTCCCCTTAAGGGTACTGTTGGCTATATTTTATTTATTTCCCCTTATGGGCACTGCTGGCTAATTTGTTTTATTTATCTCCCCTTATGGGTACTGCTGGCTAATTTGTTTTATTTATCTCCCCTTATGGGTACTGTTGGCTATATTTTATTTATTTCCCCTTATGGGCACTGCTGGCTAATTTGTTTTATTTATCTCCCCTTATGGGTACTGCTGGCTAATTTGTTTTATTTATCTCCCCTTATGGGTACTGATGGCTAATTTGTTTTATTTATCTCCCCTTATGGATACTGCTGGCTAATTTGTTTGATTTATCTCCGCTTATGGGTACTGTTGTCTAATTTTTTTTTTATTTACCTCCACCTTATGGGTACTGCTGGCTAATTTGTTTGATTTATCTCCCCGTATGGGTACTGCTGGCTAATTTGTTTTATTTATCTCTGCTTATGGGGACTGCTGACTATTTTTTTTAAAGAATTTTAACTCATAAATTATGGCAAAACACAATTTTTATAAAATTTATTATATATTATATTCATTGAGAACGGGAAATCGTGGTCTAGCGGTAGAGCGCTAGATGGCTATCCCAAAATTCTCGAGTTCGAATATGATTACAAGTTAGTGGAAAGTCTCTGAGTCAACCCAGCTCTGACGGGTACCTAACTCACGTTAAGGAAAGTAAAGGTGGCTGGGCATAGTGCTAAATACACTATTTCTTCATACACTATCCCTTCATATGACGATATACCGTCTCGAATGGGTATAAACGAAAAAATATTTTTTTAAAAGTTCCTCTTTAGACCTAGCAATCCATTCGGCAGATGAAGTACAGTTCATATGTTTCTTGACCTCGACATATGAAGGGATAGTGTATGAAGGGATAGTGTATTTAGCACTATGCCCAGGACAGGAGGACAGACAATGCTAAATATATGACAACCCTTTTTTACGGTGACTGAAAGATGCGCAACGGAAAACTGCGTAAAAATGCGCTGTCATTTTTTGCTTTCTTAAATCGAGCATTTATAGACAATAACAAAGATTGAATACGTGTACATTGTAGCGTAATATAACATATTTCCACGAAACATGAAAACATTCAAGTGTTTTAGTTTGTTTTTTCGCATTTTTCTGTTTGCGCATTTTTCTATTGTGGATTTTTTCAATTGCGCATTTTTCTGGGAACCCTTTTTTGTATAAAACACAACTTTTGTTTTATACCGCAAAGAAAACTCGTGTAAAAGTTGTGCAACGAAGTAGGATCTCAATTGAATATGGAAGTTACACGTAAAACACGAATTCACCGTCAAACTACCTGTTGTCACAAGATATGAAACAATAATCATGGTAATAATAACTGCAATAATCTCTGTAAAGACAATGAAACAATAACAAAAACTTTGTTATGATTTCAGCTACAAGTGGACCATCCCACTAACCTTGACTTCTAGCCGTAATCCTTACTTTAACCAAACAGACAGAGACATCTTGTGGCTGCATTGGACGAGCCGTCAAAGTAAGCTAAGTTAAACAGTAAAATATGCTACAGACTTAATGCAATGAGAATCTAAGAACAAAATATACTGCAGACTTAATACTATGGACATCTACTTAAAAATAACCTCTGATGTAATACTATGAACATTTACGAAAAAATATACTGCAGACTTAATACTATGAACATCTACGAGCAAAAAATATACTGCAGACTTAATGTTATGCATATCTACGAAAAAGTTCTATGAACATCTATAAAAGACTTGTTACCAGTGTTTCTTCCAGACTTTTTTCTCCGGGGTGGGGGGGGGGGGGGGGGTGGGGCACTTGAAATTTTCGGGGGGGGGGGGGGGCGGTAGACTTTCTTGGGGGGGGGGGTGCGGACACTGTTAAAAGTATATATTTTTCTATATAAATTATATAAATTTCATTTCGTTCAGGGGGGGGGGGGGGGGGGTTGCGGTACATTTTTTTCGGGGGGGGGGGGGGGGGGGAAGATGCCTGGAAGATACTCTGCTTGTTACATATGTTAAACCACGTTCTAGACCGATCAACGCTGAGCCAAAGGAAATTTATGTTTATTGTCTTATTTTTAGAATATTTAAAACTTTTTGTTATAAACGTTTTTATTGTTGTTTCGGATAATAAGAAACCACTGGTTGGGTACATTAATAACCAATTAGACTTTAGATCGCGCTACTCTTCTTAACGTTAATTTCTTATTTCGAAAAGACTAGCATGGACTGTGTGTATAATTAATTTTTAAAATCTTATGCAGTAAGTCTCGTAACAGTTAATTATTAAAATTGATCGCTGCAAGGAACAGTAATTTATTAATCTGTCCCTGGCGGTGAGGGGGGGGGGGGGTAGGTGTTTATTTAAATGTTATAAGGTGTGTATGTTATATACAGTGTTTCTTCCAGGCTTTTTTCTACGGGGGTGGGGTGGGGAAAGGGACACTTGAAACGGGGTTGGGGGGGGGGGCGGACTAATTTTTCTGGGGGGGGGGGGCGGTAGACGTTCTTCGGTGGGGGGGGGGGGGGGAGACGAGGAAGAAACTCTGGTTATAGGGTAAAATGTCTAAACAAATATTAACAAGATGGCGAGAGAATTTTTTTTCTGTTTCTTTTGTTTAAAAAAAAAATTACATTTGCATTTAGGTGAAATCACAATCAGGGATCTTCCAGAACTTTCTGATCCCAACGCCTGGATTCTGGCCAACGTCCAGATGTACGGGTTCTACAGAGTCAACTACGCTGCCAGCAACTGGCTGGCTCTGTGTCGACAGCTGATGGAGGACCACCTGGTAGGTTTTAACCAATGAAATTGTCTCGGTTTATTAACAGTGTCATCCGGCTACTTCATCGAAGCTACTGTAATATTGTTGCAGATGTCTCTTGTCTAGATTATGAGATTCGGATTGTCGCAACTCGTACAACATACACGTAGATCCAGTCGCGTAGCCAGGATCGTCTCAAGGGGGGGGGGGGTGTTCCAATTTTTACCCGGGGACAAACTTTCGATTTGCACCCCCCCCTCATACTTTTTATATATATGGGGGGGGGGGGGGGGCTTACGACCCCCCCCTAACCCCCCCCCCCCCCCCCCTGCCTACGCCACTGCATAGATCAGATTTACCAGCAAACGTATACATAAGTTATTCAACAAAACATTGGGCTATTCTGGGCTTTCCCTCACTCTACTGCAACGTTTCTTTCATGTGTCTATTTAAGGGAGGGGGGGGGGGAATTGTACACCACCCCCACCCCCGAACAAAAAAGTGAATATATATTTCATAAAGAAAATAAATTCTTTGTGGGCCCAACTGCTCCCACAAACCATTACTTTTATTCCGTACAGAAGCTTTTATTCCAAAGGGGAACTATTATCTAGGCTAAGGGAGAAAACCAAAATAATTTATTTAAAAAAATTATAGATATACCAATGTCAAACTTTTACGGTGGTTGTAATTTTTGTACAGCTATAATACAACGTATAATATGTGAATTATATTTTTAGCTAAACTGTTCTAAAGTTAATATGTTATTATTTTTTTATACATTTTAAAATTTATTGTAAACACGTTACCTAAACAATAAAAAAATATCAAAACAATAACATATAAGACAACGTCAGTAAAATGAAATTTTATTGCATTTGCTAAATCCCTTAGCACAATTACTTTTAGCAGAGAACAACACTCTGTCTTGTTTCTTATAGTTCAGGGGTAGGCAACCTTTTGAGACGGAAAAGCCAAAAGTTACAATTTACAAAATTTCCCAGTTTTTAAAGAGCCACTACCATTTTTATTTCACTATCATGATATTTGATTAGGATTTATATATATATATATATATATATATATATATATATATATATATATATATATATATATATATATATATATATATATATATATACATATATATATATATATATGTATATATATGTATATATGTATATATATGTATATATATATATATGTATATATATATGTATATATATATATATATATATGTATATATATATATATATATATATAATTAATAAATAAATAGCTTAAATATGAAATAATATTTATTCATATGAAAACAAACACATGTTTCGCAGAAAAAAATATTAAAGTATTTTAAAAATAATAAAATCAGTAATCAAATAATATAACTTTATTTTTTGAATACTATTTACAATAGTTTCGGTCTTGCGTGCTGTTTGGAAGTTTGTTTAAACCTGGCTCAAAACTTGTTTTCAGTTTCAAGCACGCCTATAGATTTGTATTTGTTAGTTGGCTTTTTACATATATTTTATATTATATTCATGCAAGAAAACGCTTGCTCGCAAGAATATGTTGAACCGAAGATCGTCAGCACTCCAAATGCCAAAATTCTTCACCTTACTGCAGCATCCTACAAGACTATTCCATGCGTCACAAAATAGTGCCTCAACTCGCGGCATTTCTTTTAGAGCTGTCCACTTGTGCAGCGAAACGTGCATGTTTTACTGGACCTCCAAATCTTTTAACTTGCTCTTGATATCTGTGAACTTACCACTCCACAAATGTTTGGTGTTCAAATCTAGCAATTTCATTAGAAGAGAACCAACATCAATTCCAAATAGCTCCAGTGTTTCTTCCAGACTTTTTTCTCCGGGGGGGGGGGGGGGGCACTTGAAATCTTCGGGGGGGCGGTAGACTTTCTTCGGGGGGGGGGGGCGGACACTGTTAAAAGTATATATATATTTTCTATATAAATTATATAAATTTCATTTCGTTCGGGGGGGGGGGGGGGGCGGTAAAAATTTTTCGGGGGGGCAAAGCCCCCCCCGAAAAGATGCCTGGAAGAAACTCTGAATAGCTCGAAGTTAATCTAATTTTTTTTTTTTGTTGAGAGAATCTACTATGAACGTCCAAGTAGTTGCATTTTTTTTTAATTGCTCAAATATCTCAGTGAATCCATCCTTCATTTTGTTTATAGTTATCTTGAAGTAATTCATGTTAATAGTAGTATTGGTTTTATCACGATATATTTATTTTTCAGACTTGCCGAAATTAAGTAACTTACCGCTCTCCGTGTTTTCAACAAAATTGAAATAATTTTTTTTCGCAACAATCATCTTCTTCAAGCACGACTGGGTTTTCCTTTTCTTTCAGTTTTACATTTAGCTCGTTTAGTTTCTTTGTGATATCCACGTTGAATTTTTCAATTTGGGATGGACACTTTATTAGGAAGTTCATTCAAGTAGGGAGAAACTAAATATTCTAATTTAATAGCAAGAGTTTATTATTTATGTTTATTATTAATATCTTTCATTATCGAGTGTTGCAGAACAACATTTTGATGAGTTTTGAAAATAAAATAAAACAATTATTAATGTGTGTGCATGAAGCTGAAGAGCCGCATCTCGACACCAAAAGAGCCGCATGCGGCTCGCGAGCCGTAGGTTGCCGACCCCTGTTATAGTTGTTTGTACCTCAACGTAAGATGCACTGCATACAATTACAATTCTCTACTTGGAGACGTTAGAAATAAGCTGTAAGCGCGCCTTGCAGTCGCATCTCTTCCTCTCTAGGAAGTTTTGGTGAGCTATGGTTCACGCTAAATGTTTCCAATCGTAGAGCCGGGTTTAGTGACGGATATTAGGGGCAGATAATTTAGTTTGAAACGATTTTAAACTTAGGGGAGGTAACTAAAAGGCGGCTGCTTTCACGGGGGGGGGGGGGGGTTAAGGGATTTGGGGAAAGGAGGGGGGTGAGGGGTTATAGTCCTTAACGACTTACTGATAGTGTTTTAAAGCAAATATTTTCAGTGGCAGCATTGGTACTGTCGAATTCACAAATTATGAATTACTGAAAAGTAGAAAACAACTAAATAGCGGCGTATGATATGCCGCCGGTCGGCTTGTATATTATATTTGCTAAACATAACCATTTGAAGATTGCCTAAAAAATTGCCAGAAACTGGCAAAAATGGAAAGAGCTTCTTTGTGGGACGGAGTGGCCTAGCTTTAGAGCACTAGACTCCTAACCATTAAGTCTCGAGATCCAATTCCGGTTCAAGTCAGTAGACCGTTCCTCAGTCCACCTAATTCTGACGGATACTCAAATCGCGATAGGGAAAGTATAGGCGGCTGGGCATAGTGCAGACCACACTATCCCTCCATATGCCGAGGTCACAGAAACAGGTGAACTCTACTTCACTTGCCCCAATAGACCGTCAGCTTTTGAAGGGGATTTTACTTTTACTTTGGTGGCCCCATGTGTCTTAGGCCATAACAGGGTAAAGATGATGATAACCATTTCATACAATGTTGCAGGTTATCCCAGCAGTCAACAGAGCCCAAATAATTCACGATGCTTGGAGCCTGGTCAAGTGAGTTAATTAAAACCGGGTTGTTAATATTTGATGTTAATTTTTTTTTTAATTTACCGAACTCCCTCCCTTTAATTCACTTAATCAAAAGTCAATATAAAAGTATACCCAACCACAAAATGACGTTAAATGTTTTCAAACACCTGGATACGTAATAAGTAAAATTCATCACTGATCTATATTAATATTTTTCTCAGTCTAATTTTATGAACTCCCTTCGCCTAAATCACATATACACATATACACCCATACACCCCACCCCCTTTCTTACTTATAGAGAACTCCCAAACCAGTTTCAGATTTTGTAATATTTGAATTTTTTAGTAAACGGAGGACAGGTGAAGTTTAGAAGTTATGGAGTAAACCTTTTATTCTCTCTAATCCACGGGGAAGTAAAGTTTAGATGCAATTGCGATAAATTCTAACCCTCTTTAATTCTCTTAAGGAACTAGAAGTACCCTTTCAAGCCTTAAGGTCCATGAGGCAGGTGAAGTAGAGTTAACCTGTTTCAGTGATCTCGGCTTTTGCAAGGATAGTGTGGTCAGTACAAAATATGTCCTAGTCAATTAATTCTTATTTCGACGACGTAATGTTATGTCCCCCACAGATCCGGTGACCTTGAGATATCGATAGCCCTGAAGACGATCGAGTACCTTCATAAAGAACGTGAGTACGCGCCATTGTTCGTGGCTCAGAGGGAGCTTGTCTACGTCAGGAATATGCTCATCTTGACCCCAGTGTTTGGGGCTTTACACGTGAGTCTATAACTGACCCCAGTGTTTGGGGCTTTACACGTGAGTCTATAACTGACCCCAGTGTTTGGGGCTTTACACGTGAGTCTATAACTGACCCCAGTGTTTGGGGCTTTACACGTGAGTCTATAACTGACCCCAGTGTTTGGGGCTTTACACGTGAGTCTATAACTGACCCCAGTGTTTGGGGCTTTACACGTGAGTCTATAACTGACCCCAGTGTTTGGGGCTTTACACGTGAGTCTATAACTGACCCCAGTGTTTGGGGCTTTACATGTGAGTCTATAACTGACCCCAGTGTTTGGGGCTTTACACGTGAGTCTATAACTGACCCAGTGTTTGGCGCTTTACACGTGAGTCTATAACTGACCCAGTGTTTGGGGCTTTACACGTGAGTCTATAACTGACCCCAGTGTTTGGGGCTTTACACGTGAGTCTATAACTGACCCCAGTGTTTGGGGCTTTACACGTGAGTCTATAACTGACCCAGTGTTTGGCGCTTTACACGTGAGTCTATAACTGACCCAGTGTTTGGGGCTTTACACGTGAGTCTATAACTGACCCAGTGTTTGGGGCTTTACACGTGAGTCTATAACTGACCCCAGTGTTTGGGGCTTTACACGTGAGTCTATAACTGACCCAGTGTTTGGCGCTTTACACGTGAGTCTATAACTGACCCAGTGTTTGGGGCTTTACACGTGAGTCTATAACTGACCCAGTGTTTGGGGCTTTACACGTGAGTCTATAACTGACCCCAGTGTTTGGCGCTTTACACGTGAGTCTATAATTGCCCAGTGTTTGGGGCTTTACACGTAAGTCTCAGTGTTCACCGTGTGTTTGGGACTTTACACGTAAGTCTACATTTGTCTCAATAATTCTGGGCTTTACACGTAAGTCTACAATTGTCCCTTTAGTTTGGGACTTTACATGTGAGTCTATAACTGTCCCAATTTTTGTGGGCTTTAGACATATGTCTACAATTGTCCCCAATTTTTTTTTGGGATTTACACGTAAGACTAAAATTATCCCCAGTCCCCAAATGTTCGGGGCTTTATACGTAAGTCTACAGGGTCACATTTGAAGTGAGCCAAACATGGGGGAATATTGGTCAGACATTCTCCTTCGTGGGGTGGGGGACATTTGAAACATCTAGGGGACATTTGAAACATCTAGGGGACATTTGAAACATCTAGGGGACATTTGAAACATCTAGGGGACATTCGAAACATCTAGGGGACATTCGAAACATCTTGGGGACGTTTAAAACATCTAGGGGACATTTGAAACATCTTGGGGACGTTTGAAACATCTTGGGGACGTTTTAAATTTCCGGAGGGCAGGTATTTGGACATTGGTAAAAGAGTAGGGGGACATGCTCCATGGAGAGTGATAATCAGGTGAGTTAGCCAGGAGAGATACCTTAAAATAAACACATCTGGTGAGTCAGAGAAGGTCAATTTCTAAGTGAATTAAGCTCAATTTATGAATGAAGCAGACAGTGTCACCTTACAGGTGAGCCACATGTTGGCACTTTACAGGTGAACAGGTGAGCCTCCCCCCCATTGTTACCTTGCAGGTGATTCAGATAATGCCATCTTAAAGAAGAATCAGACATTTTACGTTATAGATCAGATATTCTGATTAGAAAGATATCCATATCCTTTCCAGTTATTTTATATCAATTTAAAAAACCCAGATTAACTGTGATGTAAGCGTTGAAAGGAAAGAAATTGATAAATACAAAAATATATTTGCGAAATGTAACTAAAATTAGAACAACATTTTACATACAGAAATTCATGCAAGCAAAACTAAGGAGTGCTTTTGATTATTTTGGATTAAACAACACAGGTGCAGCATTCAATGAAATGTAAGTGTTAGTTTATTTTTAGAATGTATAGCAAAAAATCTACGAATTTTTTTTTTAATATATTATAAGCCTATAGCTGTTTTATAAAAGAGTACGCTTGTTAAATGAATGCATTCATTCACCGTATGGATGAATAAATATATAGTATGTATGAACTCATGTATCGTATTAATAAATACAATATTGTATACGTTTATTAAATGACTTCACTTTAATGAGACTAGATCGCTTTCGAATGGAACATTGTATAGTTAAATAAACAAATGGATCTAACTAGACTTGGTCCTTTGGTTTTTGTCTTAGCATGATTGGGCTACACATTAAAACAGAGTTTCTTCCAGTAAACTTAAACTTTTACTAGTGTCCGCCCCCCCCCCCCCCCGAAAAATGTTGACCGCCCTACCATGAAAATATCAAGTGCCCCCCCCCCCCCCCGGAGAAAAAGTCTGGAAGAAACACTGCATTGAAAGATGTGAGAAACAATAAAAAAAATGTGTTGTTGTGAATTTGGCATCTATGTCAAAGCTTTGAATTATTAGAATCAACACACCATAACGCTTATATGTGTTGGGGGAAATCACCTCCTATATATTACACTTAAGAAAGTTATCACTCTCTTGGTTCCAGACAAACTCGGACTGTCGTTAGCGAGATGGCTTGTGGATTTGAACTCGAGCCCTGTGTGACAGCAGCTAAAGCGTTGTACCGGGACTGGATGGCTCACCCCGACACGAACGTGTAAGACTTCACCTGTATCCCCTGTAACATAAAAAAATATTAATAGCCTTTATAATAATAAGCTTTCCAATACACTAAAAATAAAAAAGGATACAAAAACATAATCAAACAGACATTTTGAAATAAAAGCTTTTAAAAATAATATCAAAGTCCTATCCTAGACTTTAACCACAGACACAAACATTTAATACTTTATGTGTGATAAGATATTAAAGTCTAGCTTTTTTTTAGGATTGACCCTGATGTAAAAGGTGTTGTGTATTGTTATGGTGTTTCAAGTGGTGGATATGATGAGTGGAACTTTGCTTTCAAGGTAAGTTTTTTTTTTTTTTACAATGAGTGGAACTTTGATTTCAATGTAAGATTTTTAAAATGAGCGGAAGTTTGGTTTCAATGTAAGATTTTTAAAATGAGTGGAACTTTGGTTTCAATGTAAAAATTTTACAATGAATGGTCCAGATCTCACCCAAGTTTAGTATAGTTTAGGTCTGTACTAGTTATAAGCCACTGTATTTTAGGTTTAGTACTAGCGTGTATATTTTGTGTTTAGAATAGACTGTATTATTGTAGATTGTGCATGTATTATTAAAAATGTTAGTATTAATGAGCAGTTTGTTTCATTCAGTTTGTTTTGTAACCCGATGCGCTAGATCCGTGTGTTCACAACAACATCTATATATATAATTCTCTTCTGGGATCAGTTAGAAAATAAAATACTTAAAAAAAACTTTTTAAAAAACCACGTTTTTCTTGTGGACTAAAAAGTAGAAAATAAATTTTTCTTTTGTGCTTCCTCGAGCTGTGCAGATTCTTGTGATGACTGACAAAAAACGTGGGTACGTTCACCATCAAATTTCCCGACCCATCTGCCCGACCCACGTTTTTTGTCAGTCATCACAAGAATCTGCACAGCTCGAGGAAGCACAAAAGAAAAATTTATTTTCTACTTTTTAGTCCACAAGAAAAACGTGGTTTTTTAAAAAGTTTTTTTTAAGTATTTTATTTTCTCCTTTTTAGTCCGTTGCTACACATGAAAAACGTGGTTTTTAAAAAAGTTTTTTATATAGTTTATTTTCTACTTTATCTAATGACTTGATTAAGTATGACTTGACTAAGTGTTTATAAATACACGGACTAAAAATCTTGAGCGACCAGGATTCGAACCTGGGTTGTCGCGGCCACAACGCGAAGTACTAACCACTATACGATCACGGCCAGCGCGCTCACATCGATTGGGGCCGAAGTAACTGTGTCAATAGGCCTCTAGTCTTGTCGGTATCTTTAGAAATCATGTCCTCAATTTTATGGTCCTTGGGGCGTAATTAAATTAAGCTAATTACGGTCTCTAATTGCTAGTTTTTTGTATTGCATCTGAAATTGTTAGGCGAAAGTAGCCTGCATGCCAAATTTCAGAACTGTAGAGCAATCAGAAGTGGGCTAATTTTCGATGTCAATTTTAACAACAAACAAACAAATCCACAAATCCACAAACGCGAAGCTGAGTTAAGAAAAACGTGTTAACAAGCTGCAAGCGCGCCTTTGCAGTCCCCTCTCTTCCTCTCTATCACTACCACCCCCACCCCACCCCCACATGATCTGGTGAGCGGTGTTCACTCTGTTTACATTTTACAATCACAGAGACGGGTTTGGTGACGGCTATTAGGGGCAGATAATTTAGTTTGAAACGATTTTAAACGTACAGGAGGTAACTAATAGGAGGCTGCTTTCACGGGGGGGGGGGGGGGGGGGTGTAGGGTCGGGGTTAGGGGAAAGGGGGGGGGGGGTAGTGTTTTAAAGCAAATATTTTCAGTGGCAGCATTGGTACAAATTATGAATTACTGAAAAGTAGAAAATAAAACAACTAAATAGCGGCGTATGATACGCCGCGGGTCGGCTCGTATGTATAAATGCAGGCCAGTTACTGATTCGATCTCGCTCGCCTAGCAAGCAATATGGCTAGCGGTTAAGGTATAGCCTCAACAGAACGGTTATTGGGTGAATCAGTAAACGGCGGAAACCAATCAATTCTCCTGTCACACTTGAAATACGGGTTCGTGTGACATTTATTTAAAAAAAAAACACCTCCACCCAACTGAGTACATTTTATTTCTACGTCGTTCTAGATGTATGAAAAAGTCGTGGACATTGAAGAACGTGAGAGCCTGATTAAAGCATTGACCTGTACCAAACATCCATGGATTATCAACATGTAAGATATGACTTCTCATTGGTTAGCCGTACCCACAGATTAGTATAATCAGGGGGTAGGGATTAGGCTAGCCTTTGTCTAGCGTTAGGGTTTTGTTTTAGGTTAATGCTAGAGTAGTTTAGCTTTAGTGCTAGGGCTAGGTATATGGTTATTATTTTCACTTCTTTTGGGCTTGATATTTAAAATCATTATTAACTGAAATAACAAAATGCATCAATATATATCATCCCTACTGTTGTCGTTAAGAATAATTAAAATAATTCATTATTTTAAAAAAATACAGCAGTGTAAACTTTGACAGCGTTTCCAGAAAAATGCGGAAAATCCAAACAAATTATACACATGCACATTAATATTATCATACTTTGTGGACATTTTTATGTATATGTGGTCATTCTTTTCTAATGTCTATAAACGCTCGATTTACGAAAACAAAAATACCATTGCGCACTTTTTTGTGTGCTCATTTTTCCCTTGCGCAGTTTTCCGCTGCGCATCTTTCCGGTCAGCTTACAGCCTAGTAAATAAAATAAGTGTGACAATTATGACTTCTCTGTTGCAGTTTACTTTCAGAAAGCAAGAGTGACATTTCCCTGTTTTCCTACGTGCTAAGTCTGTTGTCAGTAAACCCGATCGGTCGGTCAGTGGCTTGGAATTACTACCGAGCCAACTACGACCATCGTATTTCTAGGTAAGTAAGTTGACAACATCGCGTTCTTCGGCGCCCGTTCAATGCGTCAAGAGGGGGTCGTTGATCCCACTTACCCCCCTGGCGTAACGCCCATTAGTTAAATTTTATATTTGTTAAACTGCAATATGCTATCAATACTGTTAAAGATTTTAGGGAATATAAATGTTCAAGTAGGCTATATTAAGAATCGTGCACGTTCAGTAAGTAAAAATGTATGTTTTCAAAATGTAATGCTTGAGCTAATTTAAATTTGATGTGTGGAGTAATTAATATGTAATTAAACCTGTGAATTAATTACATTTTATTTGTTTGTAAACAAATTAAAATTAATATTTGCACTAATTAGAATTCAATTTATAAAGTAATTGGTAAACTAATTAAAATGTAATATGTGAACTGATTAAAATGTAATGTGTGAACTAATTAAAATTTAAAGTGTGAACTAATTACAATTTAATGTGTGAACTAATTCAAATTTAATGTGTAAATTAATTAAAATGTAATCTGTGAACTAATTAAAATTAAACAATGTGTGAACTAATTAAAATGTAATATGTGAACTTATTAAAATGTAGTGTGTGACCAAATTAAAATGTAATGTGTAAACTAATTAAAATTTTGTGTGAACTAATTAAAATGTAATGTGTAAATGAATTCAAATGTAATGTGTGAACTAATTAAAATGTAATGTGTGAACTAATTAAATACAATCACCTTCAGTTTCAGCAGTTCAGGGTACTCCATCGAACAGCTGACATCATATTTCAACACAGAGATGGAGCTAAGCGAGGTAAACAGCTAAACATGTTTATACATTTCTTTGACAATATAACACGACTTCTTTCCCTTCAAGATTTTACACTAACCACCAGTAAAGGAACCACTTCAATTAGAATTAGAAGCGAGCTGCGAATCACAATAGGACTGGTAAGTAGGTTACCAACCAGTTCTATGCAGTGTTTCTTCCAGACTTTTTTCTTCGGGGGGGGGGGGGGGGAAGAAACCTGGAAGATGCCTGGAAGAAACTCTGGTTCTATGGCTCATGCAGGTTTTATTGAGCCGTAGAACTGGTTGGTGACCTACTTACCAGCCCTATAGAAACAACAACGCTGTAACCTATTTAATTAAATAATACCATTGTGTTATTGGTGACACAGTAGGGATACAGCAATGTTACCACACATTAAATAATACCAGTGTGTTGTGTAGCACAAAATAAACACACCAACGCTACCACTCGTTAAAGAATACTAATCTCCAACCAAAATATTTTGTTCTGTAATGATATCTCACCTTTTAACCCCATGTTCAGATCACTGTATTAAACACACGTTCATAGAACTCTGTCGTAACATATAAAAGATAACCATTTAAAACAAACCTTGTTGAAATATCTTCCTTAAAATGAACTGTTAACATTTTCACACACCATAACTAAAGAGATAAATTACGTCCTCTATATAATTAAGAGGATTGCTAGTAAATTAGCAATACTGACATAGATGGTATATCAACATAGAAATACCAGTCAATATTGCTGTTTAATTAATCAGTATGCTGACTATAACTAAGTATCAAAATAAATAATTAATGTCTTTATTAAAATTTAATTAGGTGTCTAATTTTCTGGCCGCTCACATCACTGAACTGGATATAACACGAAGTGATATAGACAACATCTTAAGCAAGATCAGATTCAACATCAAGTGGACAAAAGCCAACATTAACCCTATTCAAACCTGGCTTGGTCATTTGACGAACTAAGCAGAAACATCAGTAGAAGTGCCAATATTAACCCTATTCAAGCTTGGCTTGATCATTTGACGAACTAAGCAGAAACATCAGTAGAAGTGCCAATATTAACCCTATTCAAGCTTGGCTTGATCATTTGACGAACTAAGCAGAAACATCAGTAGAAGTGCCAATATTAAACCTATTCAAACCTGTCTTGGTCATTTGATGATCTAAGCAGAAACATCAGTAGAAGAAATCGAGATATTCACAAATCCAGACGTTTTACACCTCTCTGAGTCGGAAAAGCATAGTTTTGCAATTTTTTCCATATGTCTGTATGTGTGTATGTATGTGTTTGTTAGTTTGTGTATGTCTGTGAACACGATAACTAGAGTACCGTTACAGCTAGGTTGATCAAACTTCATTTATAAATAGTATATAAAATGTGTAGTTTTATATCAACTTTAAAGCGATTTCCGGTACCGGAAGTAGAACTTATTTCACTTTTGGTTTTTCAAAAACCTTCCCGGAGTACTGTTTAAGATAGATGCAATTTCGCATGTAAGTAAAAGTTATAATTCTCTGCCTTTTATCAAATTTTTGAAAAATCTCAGGTGAACGGATGTAGTAATTTACGCTATTACCACTTCTAAAAAAAAACGCATATTAATTTATAAACTACTACTTTCCAGACATTGTTTGCTGTTCACTTGGTGCGCAATTCTTTTTTTCTACGATATTCTATTCTATTTTTAAAAAGTTTAAGTCATTAAAATTGATTAAAAAAAGAGTGTCTTTATCCCGAGTTGCCATAACCCGTTGTGTTATATAAGAATATTGGAGAACGTTTAGGGGAGATCACTCCCGTTTTATTTGCATTATTTTTATTTTTTATTTTTAAAATAAATTTATTGCTAAAACCAATAATGATAATTACGTTAAATGTGACATACTAGTATCTTATATGTATATATTATTTTAAGTTTTTGAAAGAAAAAACTTGGTTAATTCTAATTAATGTATTCATATAATATTCTTAAAACATTTGCATGTAAAAATTAATAAAAATAAAGTTATTACACCTTTCTTTGTGTAACTCATCCAATTATCTCACTTTACTTTTATAAGTATTTGAATTGTTTGTATTTTCCAATTATATTATTAAACAACAAAAGCGTTTTTTTAAATATATATATATTAAGAATGTAGTAAACAATGTTTATTTTCCCATTAATCATCATTGTCATGTTACGAACACATTTTTTTTACATTTATTTACACTAGTCATACGCATATTCTGATCAACTCATACATTAAAAATATTCTTTAAGGTAGCAATTACAAGAATCAGCCTAATTATAACATTTTGTGAATAATTAACGATTTATTAGTTTTTTTGTATTTGCTGTACAATTGTTCTTTATAGGTGAATCCATCTTTATAATATTTAGTTTATACTTTGTGATACGAGTAGTTGCACTATTATTTTAAATTTTAATTCATATATACTCATGGGAATAAGCGATTTTTGTCATGTTATTACAGTAATAAGTTGTTAGTTAGCTATGCCATTACGTAAGTTATGTAATGTTAGGAGTGAGCACTTAGCATCAAATAATCAACGTTGATTTTTTAAAGTTTGTTACTGGGTTGATTGCTGAAAAATAACTTATATAAATTAATTATACATTTTTATTGCTGAAAAATGAGCAAAACATTATTCTACAGTTTAAAAAATATTATTTAAGTTTTTGTGTTTTTAAGTTATTTGAGTTGTTTCTGATTTGCTTTTTTTTTTTGTGTGGTAATAAACGGAGGATCCGGAAAATGCGGAACGGAAAAATGCGAAAGTGAAAACTGCGCTAGTGAAATCTTTTTCAAAAATCGATAATATAAAAACCTTAGCAAGAATGAACACAAGTCCTTTGGTGTGTAGTGGGACGGAGTGGTCTAGCGGTAGAGAGCTGGACTGCTAACCCGTTAGTCTCGAGTTCGAATCCGAGTTCAAGTCAGTAGACCGTTCCTCAGTCCACCCAACTCTGATGGGTACCTAACTCCTGTTAGGGAAAGTAAAGGCGGCTGGGCATAGTGCTGACCACACTATCTCTTCATATGCCGAGGTCACAGAAACAAGTGAACTCTACTTCACTTGCCCCATAGACCGTCATGTTTGAAAGGGAAACTTTTCACTTTGGTGTGTAACAAAACATTGTTCCAGGAAATATGACCAAAATGAAGTGTGTTAGTAAACTGAGTTTGTATTTGCGCATTTGTCTGTGTTCGATAGCTTTCATAAAAAAACAAGTTAATAAAAAGTCTCGTGACAATTTAAGCGCAATTTCCTTAATTAAATTTTCTGTGACCGAACGAAAGGATATTTTTGAAAACTTTCTTCGGCAATATTGGTCTAAATTATGTCAGGAATCGATTGGTAAATGTTTCAAGTCGCTAAGTGGTCTGGTTGCCGAGATATGGGCCAAATACTGCATTTTTTCGAGGTTTTTTGGCTTTTCCGGGAAATCCAGGAAGGAATTCCGTGAATGTTTTTCGCCCACAATCATCCTTGGAACTTGCTTAACATATTTGCTTTTGGAACTAGTCCCCGATATTGCTGCGTTGAGGAGGAGATACTACTTAAAGCTGCGCACATCCATCCATCCATCCAGAAATAACGAGTTAATAATCGCAATTGTCCAGTATGGAAATTGCGCTAAAAAGGAAGTTTGTTTTCTTTTCTTGTTTTCTGTGCATTTAAAATCTTATAATTATTAACGATTTTTTAAATTTGTTTTATTTTCTACTTTTTTGCAATTCGTTCTTTATAAAGTCAACACAATATACAACAAAATATATTTTAAAACCGGACCAGTTGCTTGCGAACTCTTAAAGACAATTATCTTCCCCTTCTTAACCCTTCTCAAGTGTGAAATCAACCATCCGATACCAACATTTCACAGCAGACGGCAAGTTGATCAAGCGATCGATAGTACTTGATTAAAAAAAAATCACCTTAGTTTTGAAATCGTTTAATTAATTTTTTTGACTGATTTAACATCTAAGTACTAATGATAGATATTCTTGCATTGAGATCGATGACTAAAGTGTCTGGAAAGTTATCGAGGAATCGTTGCTAAAGCATTGGTACAAAATTTAGTTATAAAATTTGCCACAACCCACGATTAGGCCGATTTAAAAAAAAGCATTTTGGTTTTGCTTTCTTCTCCTTTTTTTTGCCCCACACCTATAATTTACACCGTCAGTTTGTCTTGCAGTAAAGGGTCAGCGTGGTCGAGTCGGTAAAGCTCATGGTTGCTAAACCGAAAAATCTCGAGTTCGAACCCTCGGGCAGATTACACTCGTTTAGCAGGCTAAAATCGGAGTTAATGTCCTCAATGGCGCATAATCTCTTGATATATATATATACTGAATTGTGCTTCTGAGGACTGATACAGTCGTAGATCCTATTTCAGACAAATGCTTTCTTTCACACAACGTCTAATTTCAATTTTATTTTTAAACCGGAAAATGTATAATTAAATGGCGATTTAACAATATTTTTTTTCTGTTTGTGTTTCCTTTTTTTTTCTTTCCTTTTCGGTGGGGTGGGTTGATGGGGTATGTACTCATAAGTGGAGCTGAAATAAATTTAGGAATTAAAAAAAATATTTTAACTATTATTTTTAAAAAAAAAACAACAACGACAAACAACACAAAATAGAGGGGTATTTGTTTTCGGTGGGCTGGGTTGAGGGGGGGGGGGGTATGGGTTTTTAACTAGAACTGAAGTAAATTTGGGAGTAAAGAAGAATGTTACTAATATTATAAGAAGTCTGAATGATAGGTTGAGCACAATGAGACATAAATTAAAACATGTTTCCCTTTCTAACAGCTATAGATGTAGCAGTCCGCCCATTTTTTTTTTAAATTATTTTTCTATAAAACTTAAATTTAATAATAAAAATTTCTTTTATATTTTTAATTTAAAATAAATATTTTTAAAAATTTAAACAGTCATTTATTCAGTTCAATGAAACATTTAAAAGGAAAATAAGCAAAAATAAACAAACAAACAATCACTTCAATATTATCTAATCGTACCTAATGAGAAAAAAGTTTTTTGTATTATTTATTTCTAGTTTGTGATAAATAAATCATTACAAGATGATGTGTTGAGAGCTAAATAAATGTGAAAATTTTATAATTAATTCATTTCTGGAATTTGTGAGCATAAAATTCTTTCTTCTTTTGATATTTTTAGTTCTTATAAAGTAATTGGAAAATATTTTGTCTTTTTTATCAATGCTTTTTGTCAGTATATAAAACAGAAGAAAATAAATAATAATTGTGTTTATAAATGTAGTCATCCATTCAACTTTGTTGATTTCACACTGACAATAAAAAAAGTTCAAAAATATTTTGTACAGTCTATATTACATCATTTAATAGCCAGTTTAGACGTTTTTGTACTGTATAAAAAAATTTTCTGAAGAAATCATTGTGGATTGAGAAAAAAAGGGTATTTTTTTTACATTTTTACAGTTTCTAAGTGCAGTACTAAAAACTTAACAGTTTTAAGGATCATTTTAAAGCAACCAAATCTTGTTTGAACATTAAATTCTGTGACCGATGAAGCATTTTATTTTAAATTTATTTGTTAAACATTTCTTTCATTTTTCAGAGACATCCTCCTCTTAGTGCAAGTACAAGATGTAAGACAGATCCTCCAGCCACTTTATAATCACTTGCTGTTTTTTTCATCATTCATTTGTTTGCCACTGAAAATAAGTCGCTGCTGTTGAGGTGGAATGCCTTCCTTTTCTTCCAATCGTTCTTTGATTCTTTCAACCTTGTCTGTTGGTTCAATGTCAATCTCTTTACCGGTCAAAGTTTTAACTTTGATAAGCATCTTTAAAACTAGCACTCCAAAAAATCTTTAAAATGTAGACAAATAATATAAAACTGAAATTATGACTTGGACTCTTGGTTAGTATAGCGCAGGGGTCGGCAACCTTTTGAGGTATAAGAGCCAAAAGCTACAATTTACAAAATTTCCCAGTTTTTAAAGAGCCAATAGTAATTGTTCTTCAATATTAAGGTATTTGATTAGGATTAGCTAAATAATTTTTTATGAGTTTACGTATGAAAACATAAAGTATTTCAACTAGTTCTTTTAGGATAATAAAATCCAATTATAAAACTACCCTACCCAATTTAGAGGCTAATAACTATAAGAATATGCCACTCAAGTCAAATTAATGGACGATAAAACATACAAAAATGCCTTCTAATTAAAATAACCTTTACTATTGAAAAAAAAGTGCACTTCGATAGTTAAAAGCATGGAACCACTGCCACGGGGCTGGCCACAGCACAGTTGTGGGGCTGGGCCTTGTGTCCATGCAGCTGTCAGCTGTTTGTATACGCTCTACTCCACCTATTCTTAGTGTTTTTGTTTTGTTTAAAGTTGTTTTCCAGTATGATATTTTTATGAGTTATGAAAATAAAATAATATTATTATGGAACTGGCGAGCCGCATCCTGACATCAAAAGAGCCGTATGCGGCTCGCGAGCCGCAGGTTGACGACCCCTGGTATAGCGAAGTCACTACAAGAAAACACGGTAAGCAAATTTGCAGAACCAAACCAACAACGAGCAAGCAAAATGTTTATTCTTTTTAAATAAAAAGTCTTACAATAAAACTGTTTTTGATTTTCGCATATATTAAAATAACAAAATATTCAAAACAAGTTTATTTCTAAATGCATTTTATTTATTAATGTTTTAATAATTATGTAATTGTTAATAATAGAAATAAAAAGCACTTAAATTGTTTTTTACACAAAATGAAATCTAAAAATAAAATGTTTTATTACTTCCCTTACTTAATAATAACTAGTTACTTCCCTTTTAAAGCTGCTTACGTGTGAAGATGCCTTTAACTTTACAATATCCGCGGACTTAACCTACTCTCTACCCTAGAGTTCTGTTCAATGTCAGTACACATATTCTACACTAGAAGCTTTTATGGCTGTCATAATTAGGCTGAATACTTAAGTTGAATACTCATGACATGATTTTGAACGCAGTTGAAATTTTATTTTAGTTAAAATTTGAATAATTAAAAAAAAACAATGTTAATTAAAAAAAAAAACTTTTTCCTTGAAAGGATTTTAAACATAACATCAATATAATAAGCACATTATATTTGAATAGTTGAACGCATAGTTGATAAAACGAAAAAGTCCCGATTTTAAACCCACCGGGCCGATGAGGCTGGTCAGCTATGCAGTGGCGTCGCTAGGTCGGGTGTCACCCGGTGCGGCACTTCGTGGTGTCACCCCCCCCCCCTCCCAAGAAAATTATATATATATTATATATATATATATATATATATATATATATATATATATATATATATATATATATATATATATATATATATATATATATATGTTTATGTGTGTGTATGTGTCAACCTACATTGGCCTCTAATTTCAATATATGCCACATACGCGTACATGCATGTATATAAGCTGCAGATATAATAGTAAGGATGTTTATCTTTAGTCTGTTAGATGTAGCATTGGATGTAGAATTGTTTTCTCTATAGTTAGTACGTTTACGTCATGGTGTCAACCCCACCCCCTTGTAATAATTGTCGATTTGTAGGGGGCCTACATAAAAGACTATTTAACTTTAATTAATCATTAATGGAACTGGCAAAAGAACATTTTTCTTCTGTACATTTTGCATTTTTTTCTTGGTGTCACCCCCTAAATGGTGTCACCCGGTGCGGTCCGCACCCCCCGTCCCGCCCTCGCTACGCCTCTGCTGCTATGAACATCAACTTATCTTGGAAATAAAACATTTGATGCTAAGTTGTATAGGCAATGTCTCGTTTGGGTCCAGCAGATTTTGTGGAGAGAGTCCCTGATACATTAGCAACATCTAACCCTTTTCATATTAATGCCCAGGTCTTGTAACTAAGTGTCATGACTCAATTATCTAATCGTCTATCTGATGAGTTTTAAGTATCAATTATCTAATCGTCTATCTGATGAGTTTTAAGTATCAATTATCTAATCGTCTATCTGATGTTTAAAAAGTCAATTATCTAATCGTCTATCTAATGAGTTTAAAGACTCAATTATCTAATCGTCTATTTGATAAGTTTCAAGCCTCAATTGTCCAATCGTTTATCTGATATGGGGCCATTTGTTTATTTAATTTTCAGCTATCTTACACCCAAGAACACGACAGTGTATCTTGGAAATCACACAGTTGATTCGTGGAAACGGCTATGGATAATATAGGCTATTTTAATAACACATGTTTTAAAGGGTAACAGTGACTGTAATAACTATTTATGTTAGCGAATTAGTTTGTTTCACTAAAAATAACTAACTTGTGTTCATGAGTTACATAGTCCTTAGACGTCCCATTGTTAAAGTTAAAATTAAAAAAAGAATTGAAATGATAATTTAGAATAAAATTTCAGCGCTTGAGATCTTCAGCCAGCTTATTCCAGAAGACACGATAGACGCTGTCGTTTGTTGTATCATCAGGCTGGGGGTAGGAGATGTACGTGTTACGCTTGATGTGGCACAGCAGGTCATGGCCCAGTTCCTTGGAGGGGATGGACTCTTTCAGCAGGAACACCAGAGTGGGACGGCCACGGTCTATTGACTCCATGTTGGCCATCTGGGGAGAGAGTTGGCGAATACATTTTTTTTCATGATCACATTGAATCAAACATTGATTTTAAACCTCAACCTAACGTTAGCTCTATCTCTAACTCTACCCCTACCCCTACCCCTACACCTACACCTACACCTACACCTACACCTACACCTACACCTACACCTACGACTAACCTTAACCCTAACCCTAACCCTAAACCTAACCCTAACTCTAACTCCCACCCCTAACTCTAACGCTATCCCCACCCCACCCGTAACCCAAACCCTAACTCCACCCGTAACCCTAATCCTAACTAATCAATATTTGAATTTTTAAAACACAAAAAAAAACGAATATCGCCAGTACGGTCAGTACCAAAATGTTAATACTTCCGTTTTACCACTACAGAGGAATCCCAATCAGATTGTTAGACTTTCCATTACAATAACAGGCCGTAAAACTTCCGGATACTTGAATACCAGTTTCATGTCTGCCAATGACCGCTTTAGTTTGACGTATGCTCGCCATTTTTCTAGAACTAGTGAACAACATGCATTCTACCGAATCACACACAAACCTTTGGAGTTACCACTCACACGCTCAACCGATCGGCCACATCTTCCATATTACTTACAACTAGACCAGTGCGTCAGTGAAAGTTTACCTGGATTTCATAGTTACACCACTTGCTGGTCAGAAGGTTTCTGGTCAAGATGACCAGCGTCTTCCTGCTCTCCTTGATGGCCGTCACTATGTTGGCCGCTATCCAGTTGCCCGTGACAAAGTCCCTCCCGTGGACGTGAAGCTTGAGGCCCCTGTCCCTCAGCTCTGGGGGGAGGAGGGGGGAGAATGTCAGATTGTGCAAAATTTAAAACAATATTACAAGGCACTGGGTCAGAAGGGAGAAGAAGCGGAAGGTAAAGACGTCAGTGGATGGATGAAATCAAAGATTGGACTCAAGGCAGCAAAGAAAGAGACAGATGGCGGAAAATTCAAAAGAAAAAAAACAACTGGTGCCCAAAGACACTTAGGAAATAATCAAAGTGTCAGAGGACAGAGGTGGATGGCGGAGAATTGTGAAGTTGACTGTGGTGCCAAATCGCAGAGGCGTACCGACCCTTCCTGGCGCCCGGGGACAAACTTAAAATTTGGCGCCCCCCTCGGGAGCAAACTTTCGATTTGCCCCCCCCCCCCTCAAATTGCAAAAATGCAGCTAAAATGACATTTTAATTTGTTTTTACAACCCATTTTGGCGCCCCCTAAGGTCGGCGCCTTGGGACATATGTACCCCCCTGTTCACTCAGATCTAATTAATACCTGACTTTAATACGCCGTTGAATCAACACTAGCACTGATGAGTAGCTATAGATATTCCTAAGGGTACCTGACTGTGGCGAGTTCCTGAGCCCACTCAGATTTAAAGGGTACCTGACTGTGGCGAGTTCCTGAGCGCACTCAGCTTTAAAGGGTACCTGACTGTGGCGAGTTCCTGAGCGCACTCAGCTTTAAAGGGTACCTGACTGGCGAGTTCCTGAGCGCACTCAGCTTTAAAGGGTACCTGACTCTGGCGAGTTCCTGAGCGCACTCAGCTTTAAAGGGTACCTGACTGGCGAGTTCCTGAGCCCACTCAGCTTTAAAGGGTACCTGACTGTGGCGAGTTCCTGAGCGCACTCAGCTTTAAAGGGTACCTGACTCTGGCGAGTTCCTGAGCGTACTCAGATTTAAAGGGTACCTGACTGTGGCGAGTTCCTGAGCGCACTCAGATTTAAAGGGTACCTGACTCTGGCGAGTTCCTGAGCGTACTCAGATTTAAAGGGTACCTGACTGTGGCGAGTTCCTGAGCCCACTCAGCTTTAAAGGGTACCTGACTGTGGCGAGTTCCTGAGCGCACTCAGCTTTAAAGGGTACGTGACTGTGGCGAGTTCCTGAGCGTACTCAGCTTTAAAAGATAACTGACTGGCGAGTTCCCGAGCCCACTCAGATTTAAAGGGTACCTGACTGGCGAATTCCTGAGCCCACAGCTTTAAAGGGTACCTGACTGGCGAGTTCCTGAGCGCACAGCTTTAAAGGGTACCTGACTGGCGAGTTCCTGAGCCTACTCAGCTTTAAAGGGTACCTGACTGTGGCGAGTTCCTGAGCGCACTCAGCTTTAAAGGGTACCTGACTGGCGAGTTCCTGAGCGCACTCAGATTTAAAGGGTACCTGACTGTGGCAAGTTCCTGAGTCAACTCAGATTTAAAGGGTACCTGACTGTGGCGAGTTCCTGAGCCTACTCAGCTTTAAAGGGTACCTGACTGTGGCAAGTTCCTAAACCTACTCAGCTTTAAAGGGTACCTGACCATAATCATTCCTAGCTTTGTTTGACACCTGATCTTAGGACTTCCACGAAGTCTCAGCTAAACCAGAACGGCTTGGGACCAAGATGGATGGCTGAGCATTATAAAACAAGTTAATTAAAAAGTCTAGTGACATTTAAGCGCAATTTCCTTATGTTATCTAAAAATAGCAGGGTTAGTAAAACCATTGGTTAGTTATTAAAACGTTTTTTATTAATTTTTTTTCAGTATTTTACATGTTTTATTTACAATAGAGTTACATGACTAAAAACCATTGCGCGCCTACTGAACGTGATGACGCAGCCATTGAACGTGATGGCGCAGCTATTGAACGTGATGACGCGTGTGGTGTGGTTGGATAAATATGCCTACTAATTCGGGACAAATTTTAATTAATAAAAAAAAATTTCTGACCGAACGAAAGGATATTTTTGAAAACTTTCTTCGGCAATATTGTTCTAAATTATGGCAGGAATCGATTGGTACATGTTTCAAGTCGCTAAGTGGTCTGGTTGCCGAGATATGGGCCAAAAACTGCTTTTTAAAGAGGTTTTTTGGCTTTTCCGGGAAATCCATGAAAGAAACCCGGAATTTTTATGGCCTATGTTCATCCTCGTAACTTGCTTAACATAATTGCTTTTGGAACTAGTCATCGATATTGCTTCGTTGAGGAGGAGATACGACTTAAAGCTGCGGACACACATCCATCCATTCATTCATACATTCATTCATACATCCAGAAATGACGGGTTAATAAACGCAATTCTCCAGAATGGAAATTGCGCTAAAAATAGGGTGCCCATAACGACCCCAATTAGGGTTCATGGATGATGATGATGATTATGATGTTCGTATCTTATCTCCAAATAACCGACTGACCTTTATTGACGGTATGCACAATGAAATCATCGTCGATGGAGGAATAGCTGATGAAGACGTCGTACCGAAACTCGTTCGCATTGTTTTCGTGCTGGTGATTGAACTTGTACAGCACAGCGTAGTAAAAATACTTGACGGACCAGCGGAATCTGGGAAAGTAAAAAGTTATAAGTGTATCATTTGTGTGATGACGCAGAATATTTATATGAGCAGAGCAGTGGCGTAGCCAAGATCGTCTCAAGGGGGGGGGGGGGGGGGAGGGTTCCAATTTTTACCCGGGGACAAACTTTCGATTTGCACCCCCCCCCCTCAAACTTTCGATTTGCACCCCCCCTCATACTTTATATATATATATATATATATATATATATATATATATATATATATATATATATATATATATATATATATATATATATATATATATATATATATATATATATATATATATATATATATACCAATGGGTCTATGGGGGTGGGGGTTATGACCCCCCTGACTTCCCCCCCCCTGCCTACGCCACTGGAGCAGAGTTGATCCACCAAATACCCATTACGGTGTAGCTGTATATAAACATCATCAACACTCCCTTATAATAATTTGCCTGTTGACTATTGAGATTATTTAATAATTATACTAGTGGGACGTCATGGCCTAGCGGTAGAGCGCAAGACTGCAAACCCGAATGTTTCGAGTTCGGATCCCAGGCTCAGGACGCCCCTGAGTCCACCCAGGTCAGATGGGTACTTGATTCGCGTTAGGGAAACAAAGACAGCTGGCCATAATGCTGACCACATTATCCTCTTGTGTGCTGAGACTACTGAAACAAATGAACTCTACTTCACCTATTCCATGTGTCTTAAGCATCAATAGGAAAAGTTGATGATGGGTTACAAGACAGCTGCCATCAAAATGGTTGAGTCAACCCAGCTCATAAGGGTACCTAACTCAGTTAGGGAAAGTAATGGCGGCTTGGCATAGTGCTGACCACACCATCCTTTCATATGAAGAGGTCACAAAAACAGTGTAACTCTACTTCACTTGCCAGTTTTAATTCTTTTTAATCTTCCACCACCTACAAACAAGGATAATGCTTATGTTAGTATCGATACATGTATCTATATCTATAATTAGTTGTACGAGTTTTTTAGTATTGTTATGAGAATTTTACTTAATTGCCTTTTTTAGTTATCGCGTTTTCTCTACAAAGACCCTGAGCCTAAAGTATATTCTCTATAATAACAATGTAATTAAAAATACACTATAACACTATAGTACGTAAACTTACTTGTATACAATGTAAGCAAAGATACAACAGAACAATATGAACGTGGCACTGGAGATGGCTAAAAATAGAACAATGTGACTCTCACATTCCAGATCCAAAAGCCGTAGATTCTCATGGTAGCTGTCGTTGATGTACTTGGACGAGCTGTCTGCAAACTTGCACATGTAGTTGTGGAAACTCGGTTCGAAAGCTTTCGAGTTGACCATCCATTTTAGAAAGTCTAAATTGTTGCACTCGCAGATGATAGGGCAGTGGGAGAGATCGACGCGGATTTGGCAAGATTTTGGTGTGCAGAGTCTGTCAATGCTCTGACGGGTTGTGGGTAGCAGGTTGTTGATTTGGGAGTGACTCAAGTTTAGCAGCGTCAGATTAGGCATGTGGGATATACTGACGTTGAAAATCCACATTTTGTTTTTTTCTAAATGTAAGTTTTCTAGGTTAACCATGCCGGCTAGTATATTGTTCGGCATATTGGTAAGCTGACAGTTGGACATATCGAAAGTTGTGAGGGTAGATAAATTTTGGAAAATCTTGTCCTCTTCATCCAAGGCCGCCATGTACTCGCCGAAGCTATTATCTCCAAGCAAAAGCGTGGTCAATTTAGGAAACGATTGAAAAATCGTGTGCGAAAAGTGTTCCAAAGAAACGGATCTTAAATCCAGAATAGCGAGGTTATGCAGACCGTATATAGGTCCGAAAAGTAAAGGAAGGTAGTTGTATTTTAACTTCACGATGGAAAGATCGTTTGTAGAATTTAGATGAAATTCGTGGATTTTGTACTGTAAGCCCGTAATGCTGAGGTCTATTTTTTGTAAACGTGGTGGAATTTGAAGGTGAAAAGTTTCTTTTTCTATACTTTTGTAAGTGTTTCCTGGATTAGTGAAATCTTTTATTGACTGTGGATAATCTGGTGCGTAGCTCTGTGGGGTAAGTTGTAAAGGAAACCGGCACCGTTAAGGTCCAGTGATAGTAGATTCTCAAGTTTCCAGACTTTCTGGAGATATTCGCCAAACAGAAACCTGTTGATGCCAAGATCCAAGTGAGTTAAATTCTCCGGGATGTAGTCAAACGCGTCGTCAAGGACTGTCTCGAAGCAGTTTTCTCTTGCTACCAGATGTGTTATAGATCTGGGTAGGCTTTGAACCATGGAAGCGTTGACGTCGATTCCTTTAGAATACCGTGACACAACCGCACTGATGTTGAGAATTTTTAAATCAGAATGTTTCAGCCCTGACAAAATTTTGCCTAATTTTTCAAAACCTAAAACACGGTTGTATGAAATGTCGAGTGTTTTGAGATTTCTCAACGGGGTGAAAGTTTCATTTTCGTTAGCGTACGGTCCCACGATATTACAGTCGCTGATGTTGAGGATTTTCAGGTGTGACAGGTTGACGAATGTCGATTTTCCTAACGCACCAAGATGACACTCACCTTCCGTATACCCTGCAAGGTTGAGATGTTCCAATGATGTCATGTTCGCGAACCCAGGACCAAAGCTTTTGTTGAAAAGTCCATCTATATACAGCGTATGTAAACTTCTCAAATCGGAGAGCTGCTGATGAGGATATTCGTAACTTCTGTTAGTAACGTTCGCCGTGTTTTTGTTTAGTTTTAGAAAAAGAAGCGATCCTAATTCTTTAAAAACACCACTGGGAAAAGTAATATTATTCATTTCTAATTTGTTTCCATATAAAGTTAAACATTTTAGTTTGTGAAGACAATTAAATGATTCATTTTTGAGTTGTAATATTTTATTATGGGATAAGTCTAGAATCTTCAGATGAGTGTAATTACAAAAAGCTCTATTTTTAATATGCGTTAAATTGTTATTGTCAAAATATAACTCTGTGATATTATATGGTAATGACGTTGGCACATAGTTAAGGCCAAGTCGTGAACACACGCAAACACTCTGATCACATTTGCAGCCATCTATAACCTCGTAAAACCAATCAACTTTTTTGTGATAGTTGGCTTGAAATTTTCTCTCACAATATTTTGTGTGTCTTAAATCATCCTCGTCATTGAAATTTTCCACTTCTATATCCTCTTGCACGTCCGCGCTTGCAGGCTGATGAATTTTTTCAAATGATTGCGATGACGCTACTAAATCATTTTTAATAGCGTCGGCAGTGTATTCCAAACTCCTCTTATTTTCATTTGAAGAATGAAGTAATTCAGATACATTAAAATTATAGTCTGTGCTGTTTTCCAAACTTTCGTTATTTGTGTTAGAAGGTTTAGATGATTCAAAGAACGCATTCTTTTTTGAGAAGTCTGTGTTGTCTATGTTTTGGTCCATTGTGTTGACTTTTATAGGAAACATTGAAATGTCAGCCACGAATGTCAGACACAGCCACGCCAAGATTGGGAAGTTATGGGCTTTGTTGGTCATGGTCCTCATTATGTTCTATTGTATGAGATAAAAAAAATGACATATTAAACAAATTACAGGCATCTGATTTAATTTATCTTTCGAACTTGACGGTGAATGAAGCAGATGAAATAGAGTTCACCTGTTTCTGTGATCTCGGAATTTGAAGAATAGTGGGGTCAGCACAATGCCCAACCGCCTTTACTTTCCCTAGGGTGAGTCAGGTGTAATTAGTTCAAATCATACGAACCCATGATTCGAACTCGAGTCTTTCGGGTCAGCACGCGTATGCTCTTATATCTTACCACACCGCAAATAAAGTGATGACGTGTGAAAAGAAGGACAGGTCGTAATGAAGTAGAATCGTTAAACATGACCTAAACCCTAACCTTAAATCTGACCCTACCCCTATCGTTGACTAGTCCCTAGCCTCACAGCCGTTACAGATTTTTTTCATATCGTACTTTTGTTTGTATTACACGTAAAGCGATTACTACTAGAAACCATTATTTGGTTAGAATATGTTAGGATTTGTACTTGATTTATCGATAGAAAATTGTATTGACCACCACCATCACCATACCGAGATCAACCACACTATAAGAAATGTAACCACATCACACGGACACCAGCATCAACATACTAACACCACCATCACCATACTAACACCACCATCACCATACTAACACCACCATCACCATACTAACACCACCATCACCATACTAACACCACCATCACCATACTAACACCACCATCACCATACTAACACCACCATCACCATACTAACACCACCATCACCATACTAACACCACCATCACCATACTAACACCACCATCACCATACTAACACCACCATCACCATACTAACACCACCATCACCATACTAACACCACCATCACCATACTAACACCACCATCACCATACTAACACCACCATCACCATACTAACACCACCATCACCATACTAACACCACCATCACCATATTTACAACACCATCACCATACTGACACCACCATCACCATACTAACACTACCATCAACATACCAACACCACCATTATCCTACTGACACCACCATTATCATACGGACACCACCAACACCCTACTGACACCACCAGCACCATACTTACAACACCATCACCATATTAACACCACCATCACCATACTAACACCACCATCACCATACTGACACCACCAACACCATACTAACACCACCATCACCATACTAACACCACCATCAACATACTGACACCACCATCACCATACTAACACCACCATCACCATACTAACACCACCATCACCATACTAACACCACCATCACCATACTAACACCACCATCACCATACTAACACCACCATCACCATACTAACACCACCATCACCATACTAACACCACCATCACCATACTAACACCACCATCACCATACTAACACCACCATCACCATACTAACACCACCATCACCATACTAACACCACCATCACCATACTAACACCACCATCACCATACTAACACCACCATCACCATATTTACAACACCATCACCATACTGACACCACCATCACCATACTAACACTACCATCAACATACCAACACCACCATTATCCTACTGACACCACCATTATCATACGGACACCACCAACACCCTACTGACACCACCAGCACCATACTTACAACACCATCACCATATTAACACCACCATCACAATACTGACACCACCAACACCATACTAACACCGCCATCACCGTACTAACACCACCAACACCATACTAACACCACCATCACAATACGTACACCACCATCACAATACGTACACCACAATCACTATAATAACACCACCATCACCATACTGACACCACCAACACCATACTAACACCACCATCACCATACTTACAACACCATCACCATACTGACACCACCATCACCATACTAACACTACCATCAACATACCAACACCACCATTATCCTACTGACACCACCATTATCATACTGACACCACCAACACCATACTAACACCACCATCACCATACTTACAACACCATCACCATATTAACACCACCATCACCATACTAACACCACCATCACCATACTGACACCACCATCACCATACTAACACCACCATCACCATATTTACAACACCATCACCATACTAACACCACCATCACCATACTAACACCACCATCACCATACTAACACCACCATCACCATACTAACACCACCATCACCATATTTACAACACCATCACCATACTGACACCACCATCACCATACTAACACTACCATCAACATACCAACACCACCATTATCCTACTGACACCACCATTATCATACGGACACCACCAACACCCTACTGACACCACCAGCACCATACTTACAACACCATCACCATATTAACACCACCATCACAATACTGACACCACCAACACCATACTAACACCGCCATCACCGTACTAACACCACCAACACCATACTAACACCACCATCACAATACGTACACCACCATCACAATACGTACACCACAATCACTATAATAACACCACCATCACCATACTGACACCACCAACACCATACTAACACCACCATCACCATACTTACAACACCATCACCATACTGACACCACCATCACCATACTAACACTACCATCAACATACCAACACCACCATTATCCTACTGACACCACCATTATCATACTGACACCACCAACACCATACTAACACCACCATCACCATACTTACAACACCATCACCATATTAACACCACCATCACCATACTAACACCACCATCACCATACTGACACCACCAACACCATACTAACACCACCATCACCATACTTACACCACAATCACTATACTGACACCACCATCACCATACTAACACCACCATCACCATACTAACACCACCATCACCATACTAACACCACCATCACCATACTTACACCACAATCACCATACTAACACCACCATCACCATACTAACACCACCATCACCATACTAACACCACCATCAACATACTGACACCACCATCACCATACTAACACCACCATCACCATACTAACACCACCATCACCATACTAACACCACCATCACCATACTAACACCACCATCACCATACTAACACCACCATCACCATACTAACACCACCATCACCATACTAACACCACCATCACCATACTAACACCACCATCACCATACTAACACCACCATCACCATACTAACACCACCATCACCATACTAACACCACCATCACCATACTAACACCACCATCACCATACTAACACCACCATCAACATACTGACACCACCATCACCATACTAACACCACCATCACCATACTAACACCACCATCACCATACTAACACCACCATCACCATACTAACACCGCCATCACCGTATTAACACCACCAACACCATACTAACACCACCATCACAATACGTACACCACCATCACAATACGTACACCACAATCACTATAATAACACCACCATCACCATACTGACACCACCAACACCATACTAACACCACCATCACCATACTTACAACACCATCATCATACTGACACCACCATCACCATACTAACACTACCATCAACATACCAACACCACCATTATCCTACTGACACCACCATTATCATACTGACACCACCAACACCATACTAACACCACCATCACCATACTTACAACACCATCACCATATTAACACCACCATCACCATACTAACACCACCATCACCATACTGACACCACCAACACCATACTAACACCACCATCACCATACTTACACCACAATCACTATACTGACACCACCATCAACATACTAACACCACCATCACAATACTAACACCAACATCACCAAACGTACACCACAATCACCATACTTACACCACCATCACCATACTTACAACACCATCACCATACTGACACCACTATCATTATACCGACACCATCACCATATTTACAACAAAAATAACACCAATACATTGTTAAATAAATAAACCGGGAGTGATCTCCCCTAAACTTTCTCGAATATTCTTATATAAAACAACAGGGGATGGTAACTGGGGATATAGTTATGATTTTTAATCCATTTTAAATACTTAAACTTTTAAAAATAG